TGAGCTTCTCTCCCCACCAGGTCTCTCGGCTTCTCATTCCTTCTCGCAGACCAGCTCTCGCGCTTCTCCGCTCTGCATTTGTTTTTCTCCCTCTTGAGTTTCTTTCCCCTGCTCTTGTGCTGAACCAGCCGCTGCCGGTCCTGGGGCGAGGCGGGGGGAGATAATTCTCCGCTCCAGGAGAGGCAGAGACAGACTCCTCCTCCCTCTCGCCTTACCTCTCCGCTTAAAACTCATCCACGGAAGCTGGTCGTGTTGTCGCTTTGGGATCTCGCTCGCCTTCCGATGCCACTGGCTCTCGTTATGCCTTGTTCGGTCTCGTCTTCTAACAGTATCAAAGGTGCAACGTCCGCTGTTGCAGGGGGTGGGGAACACGCATTAGTCGGCATGAGCCTAACCCGCGAGACACCAGCTCGTTACCTGAGCAGATTGATCCACCATAATCCGCGACCCCTGTGGAAACGTATCTGATCGCTCTGGAATCTAGCCCCAACAACTGCTACATTATCCCATGTCGTTTGGGACCACGTGACATATAGTTCCTCAGGTTAACGGGTGCCTTTCATTTCCGAAAGAAATGACCAATTCTTTCATTGCACAATTTCAAAGAATTCTCACTATACTTAAATATGTTCACACTATTGTACTGGTATTCCTCTTTCTACACCCCCTTCCAATCTTTTTCTCCACGTAAGCTTTTAGGTCACAGATCAAACTTAACTTTGCTGCATTGTTGTATTGTGCATTATATTATTTGCGTGTTTTATTACTATGACCCGCCCTGGAGTCATTGAAGGAAGGGCAGGATGTAAGTTTTAAAAATAAAGCTTTCCTTTAGTTAACCCCAATACTTTTCTGCAATACTGTAAGCACGCAAAGCCAAGTTTACACGCTGCTGGATTTCGGAAAAAGGTAAAAGGCGGATCTAGACGGATCCTCGTGAATTCATATTATTTTTTCATTCAAATTAAATAAAACCACCATGATACTGTAGACCATGTCTTACTCTGTAGACAGCATCAAAAAAATCATGCACCCACTATTTCGTGGGGCCAAACTCGTATCCAATCCAGCGCTTTCCTCCTCCACCCTGCAACTGTGGCTCCCTCTTGTTACGTCTCAGATTGCAAGAACATCAGTTTAGGTTCATCCCACCCCCCGCCAAGTCTTGTAAAGTACCCTGTGCTGACATTCACTCCAAGCCTTTCGGTAAGGGCACACACTGACAAAATTGTTCTCTGCAAATAATAGCGATGTTTCCGGAAACGGGTTCCTCCGCCTCTGCTCCCCCGGGCCGCTACCATTCACTGTGGTGATGCTTCAGTTTATCTGTTTATTGCTCAATAGCGTCTATTAACGATCTTAATCTTTCTCCCTACTCAGCTTGATGTGTGTGTGCACCGCCAATATACTGTAACCCCCTTTTAAAAAGGGGCAGGAGTGCCGATTTTGCTCCATGATGGACCTGTTTTTTGGAAGCCCCTCAACTTCCAGACCTGGAAAATCAGAAAAAGAGACTTGACAACAGGAAAAAAAGGGACCAGAATGACAGGATTTTGTGTGCCCCCACTTTTCCTGTGTACTATTCCTCTTCCTTCTTCCCCCGCACCTTCTGTTCAATGTCCCCACTTCCCCTTGCTTGGCACATTTCTCCCTCTGCTATCTCTGCTGATCTCGCACGTTCTCCTGCAATGTGGGGGTGAAGTCCAGCCTTTGGGGAGCACCCTTGACTCTTTTTTATCGTCATCTCAGCAGGAACAGGCTAGAGCAAAGGTCAGGGCTGGGAAGGAGAGAAGATAACAGCAGAGGATGAGAAAAAGCAGGAGGGTGTGGGGACTCAGCAGCAGCAGCAGCAGCAGCGACTGCACGACAATCCATTAGAGTTGTGGGCTAAGGCAGTCACGTGAACGAAAGAAGAAGGGGAATAACAAGATCAAAGTGGAACTGACATGAAGCAAAACTGCAGTAAACATCTCATGACTAATTCCTTCCCTCCACATCCCCATCTCGACATTTACCAAGGATTCAACTGCTCCCTATAGTTTGAGAGTGCTTCTGGATCCAGTTCTCGTGATTTGGAGACTCAGTGGCTGGAAGTGCATTTTAGCAACTGCGGCAGGCATGGGCGTAAAGAAATAAAAAGACTTAACTAACTGACCAATTGCGTTGCAGATAACTTGGGTTTGCCCCCTCCGCCCAGCATGATGGCTGCCCCCCTAAAATAAACCCTGGCTACCCCCATGGTGCCTGGTTCGAGAGCTACGGTCATTCCTGGGCCGAGAGGCCTTGCCATAGTAGTTCACACGTTGGTTACTTCAAGACTGGATTGCTGCAATGTGCTCTATGTGGGGCTTCCCTTGCGCTTGATTCGGAAGGTGCAGAATGCTGCAGCACAATTGCTGACAGGGGCAAGGCATGTCAGCATATACCACCTGCACTCAGGGATCTGCGCTGGCTACCGATTTGCTACCGAGCCAAGCTCAAGACATATTCATATTAGCATATAAAGCCCTGAATAACTTGGGACCAGTTTATCTCGGAGATCATACCCTTCCTGCATCTACTTGGCCACTTCAATCGGCAGAATTGGCACTGCCACCGGGGCCACATAATCCCCGTTCCGCATTTGTAAGAGCTCAATTGTTTAGCGTGGCAGTGACACTTTGGAACTCCCTGCCAATTGACATCAAGCAGGCGCCTTTCCTGTACTCTTTTTCAGCACCGGCTAAAAACATTCCAGTTTAGACACACCTACCCAGATGCTTAGAAAACTGAAGTAATTTTAATCTGTTTTAGTATTTTAATTTATGTATGTTTTAAAGTAGGGTTGTGAATTCATCTTCATTTTACCGGATTACCTTTTTGTAAACTGGTTTGAGGGTTGTTGTTGTGGGTTTTTTTTAAACAATCAAGTGGTGTATTAATTCTATGAAATAAAATCCAACCTGGCCTTGCTGGTTCTGCCTCCTTCTGGTATCAGTTTAAAAGGACCACAGCTCCACAGATTAGGATCCCACACCCTCCATATTTAGGTTCTCCTCCCCATTCTAGGCTCCTCCTGCATCTACGGCCCTCGAAAGCCATTTTATCCCCTTATCGCTCCTCACGTCCTCCAAAGTATTTTGGCAAGTTTCTCTCATTAAGCAGCAGGAGGCGATTCCAGCAGCGCAGCTTCCTGTGCAAAGAAAAAGCAGGTTGGAAATGCATGGATCTGCTGGATCTCCCTGTGCAGCTTACTGACAAGTGTCTACCATTTTCCCCTACCCAAGGACAGATCCAAGGAGCCAGCGAGGAGGTTGAGCTGGAGGATCCACAACCCTTGCCAAAACTCCTTTGCTTTTTCCCACCAACGAGGCACCCCAAAATTACCCACTGAGCTGGTGCAGAAATGATGCCTTTAAGGGCAAGAAAAATGGAGACCAAAACGTTCCCCACCCCCATTCAAACCCCAGCTGGACTATGAACCAAACTCAAGAGAGAGTGGGGGGACGACGACACCCATGGAAATTAATGGGCACAAGTTGTTCATCATTTTCAGCGGGTCTGAGTAATACTTCAAGTTGAATCCCACCCACTTTTACCTCAGAAACTCCCTGCCCGTCCTCGCCAACTCTCAGAGCCCACTTTCAGATCCCCCAAACTCTCTCCTCGCCTCCATTCCTTTTTCTTAGTTTTCACACAGTATCCCCCTTCCTGCCCTAAAAGCCCCTTCCTCGCCCACCCCACCCTGCCATTTTTATACGCCTGCTTCTCTCTCCAGAGCCACAACGCCGCCCTCCATCTGCGCCCCTCCCCCCTTCTCCTTAATCCCCTTCAGTCCTTGGCCGGATTCCTTCCCCCCGCGCAGCCCGTTTCCCGCCTTTTTTAACGGTCGTTTTTCGCTCAGCGCGAGGCGGCCAAGTAGTCTCGAGAAAAGGGCGGGAAACAGGCAGCGGCCGGGGGAGGGGTTTGGGAACTTGCCTTGCCTATCGGCGTGTGAAGCGACCCTGCCTTAAATTATAAATTTGAGAATTTTATACAGTACTGTAATTGACTTTTCAGACGGCAATCGCTGCATGAAAAACAGGCGGGTTAGAAGAGTTGGGGTAGAAAGAAAAGACGTATAGAAGGAGCTGTTCTGATTAAAATCCTTTTTATTACTGTGGGGGTGGAGGACCTTGGTCCCTGACCCTCCTTTACTTAGATATTTTGGGGAAGCCGCTTTCAAAATGTGGATTCCTTCAGCCCTTCCTTTAAGTCATGTTCTTCCTTTGTTGTTCTTAATAGGAATTTGCCTCCAGCTGTCTCTGGATGGCAGGGACAGTCCCTTTTCTCTAGTACCTGTCCCTGATACCATAAATTGTCCCTGCTTGCAGACAATTGTCCATTTTAGGAGACGCAACACACACTTAAAAGACTAATACTAATCTATTGTGTGCATAAATTCATTTGATTTTTGAGTGCAGGCCACATAAAAACACCCTCAAACCATTTTCAACATCCTTTTCCAGGGACTGCACTATAAAAGCACAGACCTAAATGCACCTAAGGTGCCTCCATGGCGCAGAAACAATCCAAGATACAGATCCTGCCACCAAATTGCCACTCGTATCTGTATCCATGGACTCGCATAGTAAAAAATAATCAAGCAAACACACCAGGTTGTAAGTGTGTGAAAACATATATTTTGGATTTCGCCCTCCAAAATCTACCATCAAATCACACTCTTCAGATTGAACAGTAAAAAATAATGGTTTCAGCACACTGGCACATCAGTGTGGTGCAAAAAATGAATCTGGATCCACACTGTTGCACATTAAAATACCACAAATCCACTGCCAAATCCTAACCATGCATTCAGGTTCATGGGCTACATTGTAAAAGTCATAGACCCAGTGTTTGTTGGCATCCTTCTCTCGCAGTAGACAGTGGAGAAGCATGCCTTTTGGGGTGAAGTCAAAAACTGTTGAAAGGCTGAAGCACCTGTTGTGGCTGTAGAGATTGATATGCCAGTGGTGCAAACAACAACAACCCAAAAACCATGGTTATGAGGCACAGAGATCCATCAATCTGCTCATGAATTTTGCATGCCACTGGGGTGGACTTTGGTAATATGGTGCCCTGACTGAGGCCAAAATTTGGTGCCCCCAAATGGATATTCTCAATTACTGATTTTCTTGATTTTGTGTCCCCTGGCTCAGTACCCTATACGGGGGAACTGCCCAAACCACCCTAAATCTGGTGCTGAGGCCAGAAAAAGCTGCTGCTTCATCATGATTTACACCAATGCAAACAAATGACACCATAAAAATTATAGATCTGGTTGCCCCTGTTGCAGCACCACTGTTTGTCCTATGGTGGTGGCCACAAAGTACTGGACTCTTGGCTAAGAGTGCAGTAGAACTGCATCTCGTAATATTTTCTTCTTTACTGCTAAAGTTTTAAATCCTGTGATTTTCTGAACCTGCTATTCAAAGGGAAGGGATTAAGTTTAACTATTCCATTGAAATCAATGGGTCTTAAATGTGCCATGTACTGGTAAAATTTGACATATCCTCCTTATATACTGTACCTTTCTTAACAGAAGCTGAGGGAGGACCTCTGCCTCACCTGTCCTTCTTGCAACATGGACTGGTTTCATTGCAACCAGTGCTTTATCCAGGACGCATCTGACTATTACGTCACCAGCTGTGGACACATATTTTGCAAAAAATGTGCTGGTACAGGTAAGAGTAACAGCATGATGTTTATACCATGTCTGGGATGCAACATCCAGTCACCAATGCTGCCTTCCTACACACACCCTCAGAAGATGACTAGGTAGTGAACTTTCCTATGAGTTTCTTGCATCCTGCACATGAAAACATATTGCTCATGTTTTGATTCGTCAGCCGTACAATAGAACTTGACTGATCAAAAGCCAGCAGTCAGAATACTAAAATTTTCAAATCTGCTTTTTAAAGACCATCTAATGCAAGGCTTCCTGCCAACCTAGCAGTTCGAAAACACGTCAAAGTGCAAGTAGATAAATAGGTACCGCTCCGGTGGGAAGGTAAATGGCATTTCCGTGTGCTGCTCTGGTTTGCCAGAAGCGGCTTAGTCATGCTGGCCACATGACCCGGAAGCTGTCTGCGGACAAACGCCGGCTCCCTCGGCCAATAAAGCGAGATGAGCGCCGCAACCCCAGAGTCGGCCACAACTGGACCTAATGGTCAGGGGTCCCTTTACCTTTAATGCAAGGGTAGCCAACATGGTACCCTCCATATATTGCTGGATTCCCAACTCCCATGATCATGGATGATGGGACTCATATTTGGAACTCACTATATAGGTCACCTCTGATCTAACAAATTTGAAGATTGGTTCATAATTAAAGAGGATTGACCCATCTTGTGATATAATAACTTTTATATTATTTATAATAAATTTCCACATATTATTCTAACACCTTTTGCATTTTAATCCTGACAGATAAATGCCCATCATGTGGAACCAGCTGCAAATATTTGTTTCTCAATAATAATGTAAGTTGTAGTTTCTTTAAAGCAGAATCTTATATTCTCTTTTGTTTCCATGGACTTTCTGAAACACAGATGTTCTAGTTGTACCACATCAATTTTGGCTAATGTATGGAGTTCTTTTTATGAAACAGAGAAAGAAATATTGAGCAGAATTATGAAAGAAGGCACAACTTTCATGCACCCACCTTCACCACCAGAGAGATCCAGGGCTGCTAGCTTTTCCTATCTGAGGATGTGGTTATGTTTACAAAGCGGCCCTTTTAAAAAGATGCAACCTGACCCTCAAACAATTTGCTATGGCCATATGGCAGGTGGGAAAAGCCCATGATTAATGGCTTCCATCCATGTATGGACCCCAAAAGAATAAAGGCTTTCCCAAGAAAGTGGGAGCATTCAGTATACACAATACTTTCTTATAAGGCTAAAACGTTATAATTTTGAAAACACTTGTCTAATTTAATTAGTTGTTAATACAGGGCTGGGGGCTGTTGGACTGAGCAAGGTTTCTGCTCTGAACAGTTTATTTGGCAATCACTCGTAGCCGAGTAAGATTGTCTTCCATGAATATGGTCTTAACAGTGAGTCCGTAAGTGACTGTGGAGGCAAATTCTGGATCTATACGTCCTTCCACAGTAGGGACATAGGTTTCCAGGCAGGAGTTGATCAGGTTGAGCGTTTGCCAAACACACGTTCCTCTTAGTTTGTTTCTCTGAACAGCACACCCATCTGTATTTCAGGGGATGCAATTAAAATCCAGTATGTATAATGCACTTTTAATTTGCAAAGTAGTTTCAATCCATATTCTTACTTACCTTTTTGCCCTACTCTTTCCAGTCATAAGTCCATTCTTAAAAGCTCTCTGTCCTAGTGTTAGTTATTTTTGCCCTGAAGCTTTCCTTTCCCTGTGAAAACCCGTTTTTTAGTGCTCAATCGGAGCTAACATCAATTCAGGTTTTCTGAAGAAACAGAGTAAAGTGGCCATGTGTTTTGCTGTGAAAACATGCATGTGTGTGCAGCCGGGCCAGGGAATTAGTGAAGTAACTCTGCTGTTAATGCTTGCATGCTTGTGCATTCACACTTAGCCATGGTTTGTACAAGGGATTTGAACATCAATCTCTTAAATACATTACCAGCTGATTAAACCTAGAATATCTCAGTTTGCTTTGCCTCTTTGGAAGTTAATAAAGAGCCTGGGCCTTATCTTGCCCTCTTTGTGTTTCTGATCTACAGATGAAAGAAGATGAAAAAAAGTTTTTCAAAAGCCCTGTTGAAACTGCTCTCAACTATATCACCCATCTATCTCAGGTAAGAATGACATACCCTGTGAGCATTGTCTCATAGGTCCTAAAATGCTGGTGACAGTCAAGAAACATGGAGTGGATTTGTGGAATTGTGGGTCTCTGAGAAAAAGCAGGTTAGCTTAAAAACAGTGTCTGCAATCCAGTCAGAAAAAGCAGGTTAGCTTAAAGATAGTGGGAGAAGTGTATGATGAAAATGTATTCAGAAGTATGTTTAAGGGGTCCTTCCTGCAAACAAGGAAGAAACCTGTTTATTGAGCATTGATCTCATTTGTTTGCGCAAAGTTTTCAGGGAGGTTCTGTGAAATTGGCTGCATAATGAACATTCATTCCAATTTGTTTGAGGGAGGTTATACCAAGCAAATATCTCTCACCTTCCAGTACATGTTTTATCGCTTTCCTTATCCCTCAAAAGCTTGTTCTTTAAAAATAGGCTTGTGTTAAGTAAACTAAACACTGAGCAACCTGGATTTGCTAATACTGTATGCGATTGAATCCTAGCTGCAAAATAGCAAGTCTGGAAGCAGCTGCAGCAGCTTAATTTCCTAGCCTAATAAACAAAGAATATGATTTGAAAAGAAGTTACATTTCACCCCATTTTCAACGGCTTGGGGCTATGGGGGTGGGGTTAAATCCAAGGTCATTTATAGGACTAGTTAATAACCAATCTGGGGAAGGGTTAATAATAATAGTGGTCCTCTTTGCCAACTTAGCTAATTAATTACTATAAGAAATGTAGATAAAAGAGCCATATAAATATGCAGACCAACTAGTTAATAATCAGATAGAATTTCAGCAGAATCAGCAGCACCTGAACATTAAAATCTGCCAGGATTGCCATTTTAGGTATATCTCACAAGCCTTGGTAATTATGGACCTGCTCCCTCTCCTGAGCATGATACTACTTCTCATTGGTGCATATTACTGTAGTGACAATAATAAAGGTATTTATTTATTTGGGAAATGTGTATATATCACACCTTCAACAACAAAGTTCCTAAGGTAGTCTACAAGTATTTTTTAAAATAACAAAGCATAGTCTAAAGAAAACAGTGATAAAACAGTAGAATCAAGCAGTATTTAAAACAGTGAACACATTTATAAGGCCTGTAAAAATTAAAGGGTCTTTACCTGCTGCTGAAAATACAGCAATGTAGAGCTGACCATGGAAGAGAATTCTAAAAACAGGGTGCCACAAGTGCAAAGGGTGTCTCTCTAACTAAGAATTTCAGGTAGGTGAATATTGTAATTGCTGCATTTCCAATATTTTCAGGAAGCTCTCTATTTCTGACCTCCCCTTTGCACCCCACTAGCTATGCATGCCCACTACAGTACTTCAGATGTCTATCGACTTGATACACTTTTGCAACATGTTTTTCCAACATTTTGAAACAGGAGTTTTAACTCCAAAGTTGTTACTGTGTCTTTATATTGCACTTTAAGTATGTGGTAGATACCCTGTAATTAATTACAGTACTTACCTTTAGCCAACTGTTTGAATGGAGCAAGCTTGCAGCTCCCTCAAAGTATTAGCAGGCAAAGGCTAGACACATATGCCAGAGTTTTCTGTCAATTTTCCTTTCTAAAAGCTCCCCCTAGCAAACTCATGGGTTGTTTCTTAATTTCTCAGAGTTAAAAAACAATTTACGTAGGGACTCTTTTCACCTTGTTCAATTACAGCTATTAGCACAAACTCTGAGTTGCTTGTGCAATATGATGTGCATCTCATATGACTGGAGTGAACATGCAAAACTATATAACCTTAAGTCAGACAACTTGTTCATTTAGCCCAGTCTACTCTGATTGGTAGACATTGAACCTGTGTCTTGTGGTGGCTGGTGCCCATTGGGAATGGCAGGGCAGCAGACAAAGAGGTCCACCATAGGTGGAACCTAAGACAGACAGAGCCCACTAATTCTAGTTTTGTTCCTGTCTTTCTCCCTGTTGAGTTGTACAAGGGTAAAACTGAGTCTAAGGAAGAGGAAGATGACAGAGCTGGTTGTAAGGAGGTAGGCAAGTGGGGACTAACTGGGGGCAGACTGAGGTGAGTGGGTCACTGCTCCACTTACCCTGTGACCATCTATATGTAAGGCAAATGCTGTACCACTGCACTATGCCACTTTCTTCCTGTCTAGTATGTTCCCTAGAGCTGAAAGGACCCATATTCCATTTCTGATCTCCTGAAGCAAGTCACAGTCCCCAAATTTGACCAGGAGAGCACATAATAATATCAATTTTATTATTTTTACCCTGCCCATCTGACTGGGTTGCAGACTGGGTTGCCCCCACATGCTTTTCAATCCTTTTATTTCATTCCCTTTGTTTCTCTTCCTAGGTGTGCATGTTCCAGAAGGGCCAGATGGAGCTTTTAGTTTCTTTCTACAAACACAATGCTTCAAAAGCAGAGGGAGCTCTTCAGGAAGCTCACCAGAAACTAACTATCCAAGAAAAGCAGGTTGTGTTCCCATGAACTAAGGCAAACAGTGTTAGTTGTAGCTGCAGGATTTAGTAGAGCCATCATGAGGAAGACCATCAAAGTGTTGAACTAGGACTGCAGAAGCCTAAGTTCAAATCCCTGTTTAGTCCTGAGACTCACTTGGTGATCTTGGGCCAGTCATTATCTCCCAGTATAACCTATTCCCCCTCCTGAAAACAATATAAAGAAGGTTCATATGAAATATTATTGAATTCTCGTTTAATTTGTAAGCAGCTCTTTTATTATTGATTGATGGCAGAATCCTGGTAAGGGGTGGAGTGAGCTCCTGCATTAACATTATTCACATAAAGCAACCAATTGGGGATAAATATGTATACTGCTATTTTAAAAGGACCATATTCCTATTCCATTAGTACTAGATATTATGACATGTTAATGTGAAATGGAACTATTGCTCTGCATGACCCCACAGACATACATCCCACATCTCTCTGCCAAAATGTTCCTGCCTAAAGGGTCAATGGTATAACTGGAAGAATACTTAAGGCAATGTAATATAATTAGTCAGACCACCTATCTTCCATTTCTTTTCCCCTATTCCCCTTGGCTTAGGAATTTGGAGGCAATACGGAGAGAGAACAGGGAACTGAAGAAAAAGTGTAACAACATGAAGGTAGGAGCCCTTTGCTGGAAACAAATCACAGTTTTTGTGATTGAGTTCCAGACACCATCTGCTGGTAGAAACAAGTTCTGCTCCTTCGTGCCTTTGTCAATGTTGGGATGGGAAAAGTGAATCAACCTCCCTGCAGGTTACTTATATTTGCATTTGGGTCTTGCAAACCCACCCTTTTCTCTCAACAGGCTTTTCCAAGACACCGCCAGAGTAGCAGGTCAGTGTGTTAGTTCTGCCTTCTTGGAACATTTGCCAGGAGCTGCAGCACATAAAATGTAGACAGCAATGTATCTGTGGCAAAACAATAGAGCTGAGTTTGAGGCCACAGGGCAGCAAAACATCTGGGGCACAGTCACATGCCTTTGACCCTGACTGAACAAAATTCATTTCAATTTGCTGCAGAAACAGCACTCCAAGGCCAGTTGGTGTCACACACCCATCACCCAGAGGTAGGTAGAAAGATGGGGCCTCTGTAGGCATGCGTCAATGCCCTTGAGCAAATGTTCACATTACAGTGTATCTGTTTGTTTATGAGCATGTGAATGCATGTGTTCTGGCCCTGAACACATAGCAACAAGTGGCTACTTACCTATCTAAAAAATGCATTTGCACATGTACACACATGCAATCCAACATGTTTCCCTAAGAGGGATGGACAGGTACAAACATATGCTCAAATATTTCTCTATAAAATCCGGTTAAAGGTTTGCACATGTCTTTTTGGCCCTTGAAGATGCATATTTATTACCTTCCTTATAATGACTCAGACCAACATCTTTTCTCTAGTACAGTATGTTGTTACTGTCTCTACAGTAACCTATTTCATATTTTGCAGTTACACCACAACCTATTTCCCAGCACTCCAGTGAGGTAGTCAGGTAGGTGAATCAGGAAATTCATATTCTTTGGTTGTAGGTGTGAGGCGTTGTTATAAAAACAGCAGCAAAAATGTAGGCGTTTGCTCACAATTCCAGAGGAATTTCAGTTTATTTTTTTCCTCTTTAAGTAAAACAAAATTCCAACTCTAAACACAGTACACTTCATGCTATGATCCCTCCTCTGTCCAGTAGCCTATTATCAAAAATTGAATTCTAGTTTAGGAATCTAGACCTCTTAGTAGAGGCAATGCATAGATATTATCTGTTTGCTTGCCTATCTAGCCTTCCCACCAGTGACTCCTGGACATTTTGTGCCTCTATTCTCCATAGTCGTTCATCTTCCATGGATGCCATCTCTTCCAGAACCAGCCAGCTATCAAACTGGCAAGTGAGTCTCCACCACTGCTGTCCTTTACCTAGAAAAGGAAGATAAGAGGGATATATTGTTTTTGTTCTTCAAAAACTCAGTGTCACAGAGAATTCTGAGAACCAGGAGCCATTGATATAATATGCCCATGAAAAGAGAAGCCTTGTCCTCGTCACACACTGTTTACTCTTTTGTGTTATCAAGGCTTAGTGCTCAGTACTTAATACATTGCCATGGCAAAAGAACTATTCTCCTGTTGCCAACAAGGACTCAGTGGGAGCTGTTAATATCATCTGTCTGATAAGGCCTACAGGACACATAAATAACAAGTGCAGATTGAATTGTAATGTAAAATTTAGAATTAAGATGTTTATAATGTTGTTGCCTTATTTTACAATGTAATAACTTTTCTAGATAATATTAAAAAGCAGAGATTTCTCACTTGTACCCAGCATGCCACAGGATCCACTAGGATGACCCCAGCTGACTCTATAAATGGTAAGAAATAGCTTCAGATAAAAGGTAGGGAACACAAAATTTGGCAAAAGAAATTCAACTAGACAATAAGAGATTGGGGTGGGGGAAAGAATTCAAGGAGCACACCACCAAAATATTGATTAAGAGCAACACTAAAGTATTTTTATATACATTGAAAGCAGGAACCCAGCTAGGGAGGCAGTTAGACCTGTGGATGATAAAGGAGTCAAAGGTGTGCTAAAGGAGGAAGAGGAGATTGCAGACAAGTTGAATGAATGCTTTACATCTGTTTTCATTGCACAAGACATAGGGCAGGTCACTATGTCTGAACTAATTTTCTCAGGAAGAGAGCCTGAGGAACCAAGGGAAATAGTGGTGACAAGAGACAAAGTCCTAGGCCATACTGACAAATTAAAAACAAATTAACTTATCATATCCAAACGGCATCCATTCAAGAATTCTTAAAGAACTCAAAGGTGAAACTGCTGATCTTTTATTGGAAATATGTAACTTGTCTGTAAGATCAGCCCCCACACTGGAGGACTGGGAAATCGCCGATGTAACAGCAATTTTTAAAAGGGGGATCCAAGGAGATCTAGGATAGTATTGCCCAGTTAGCTTAATGTCAGTTGTAGGAAAGCTGGCGGAGAGCATTATGAAGAATTGCCAAACATAAAAAGACTTGCTGAATAAAAACTAGCATGTTTACTACAAGTGTAATACTTGTCCCATTAACATTTTGCAGTTCTCTGAGAGTGTCAAACATAGTGCCAAACACTTTCAAAACATTCCTCATCAAAAACTCCCGAGTATGATTACCAACCATGGGATAAGAGGACAGAGCCTCACTTATATCAGTAACCAGCTAAAGAGGAAGCAGAGAGTAGGAATAAATAGAATTTTCATAACACAATATTTTATTACAATACTGGTCATCAATTAGTACTTTTGCTTTTTAACCTGTGCAGAAACGATCTGGAATAGGAGATGAGCAGTGAGATGCCTATGAGGCCAAATTGTACAGGATAGTAAGAAAAGGGGCGATATATCCAATACAATTATACACATCTATTGTGCAACCATACTTGAGAATACTGTGCACAGTTCTGGTAACGCACTTTAAAAAATATATTGTAGAACAAGAAAAGGTTAAGAAAAAGGTAATGAATATCATCAAGGGACTGGAGCAACTCCCTTATGAGGAAAATCTACTACATTTGGTGGGGGGTTAGTTTAGAGAAATTGTGAATAAGGTGGAAGGACGAGAGTGAAGTGTCTAAAATTATGCATGGCATGGAGAAGCTGTATAGTGTTTTTCTCCTCATAATACTAGAAGCCAATAGATACTTTATAATGAATTTGGCAGATGAAAGGAAGTTCTTAGTCACGAAGAGTCGGACACGACTAATCGACTAAACAACAACCACTTAGTCACACAGCACATCATTTAACTCTGGAATTTGCTACCAGACGAAGTTGTAATGGTCAGCACTTTGGATGGCTTTAAAAATGTGTTTTAGACAAATTCATAAAGCATAAGACTATTGAAGGCTGCTAGTGGCATATACCTTCAGAATCAGGAATAGTATAACTCAGAATCCCAGACTCTGTTCTTATGAATGCCGTATATATTTTGACTACAAATAATGCAAAAGACCAAAAGGTGGCAATGGAAGACCAGGAATAGAAGAGTGCAAGATTCAGCCTCCAAAGCTTATTCAATGTCCAAGAGGGGAAATTACCCCCTCTTTTAAATGGGCAAATACATTATTGTATCTAAGAAAAGTAAAGTCCTACATGCTTACCTTTTTGCTTCTCCTGTCACCTTTCCACAGACTCTCCGATAATCACTTGAGGCATAATACTTTGTTCTATTTTACAGCTATTCCTTCTTCAGGTTCCACTCAAAGTTTATTCTTCAGGTGAGGTCCAGGGTGAGGGATGATATTCCCTCCAGGATACTATTATCACATGACCATGAAAAGGCCATGGCACTAGTAATACTTGCCACAGTAATTTGCATTTCTCATCACCATTCATCTCTCCATTTCTTTCAGGGCTTCTCCTGCCTTTTCTCACACCTCCAGCATGAATGTCAACTCACACACCCCCTTGGCGAGGCAAAATCAAAGTGCTAGGCAGCAACAAGAAACCCCATACTTCAACCTCAACATCTTCTCTGGTGAGAAAGTACCCTGCTGCTAACAGATGCGCCTTTTATTCTTCCATATTCCCTCCAGTACTCAACAATGCTATCATTGTACACTATAGTTCACTGTAGTAATACTGTAATTACAATGCAAGCTGCATTCTAAGGGTTGGGGTGACACATACCACTCAGCCTCAGAATCCCACCATATACTTTCTAATTATCAATTCTCTATTGGCTTTAACCTACAGATCAGACAGAGGGGGTTTCTATGCCAGAACACCGTAGCAGTGAGAGACTACGGCCTATACAGGTGAGGAACAGTCTGTGAAATGAGTATGGACTGGGCAAAGCTTATCATTGGAGCATTTTGAACAACTGCTTTTCTTTCTGTCTTCTCAGCTGAGATTCACCCCTCGCTCCTTTCACTGCAGGTAAGTGGTAACCTGTTTAGCTCACCATCCTCTCACCCAGAGGCATACCTAGGCCCACTTGCACCCTTGGCATGGAGATGTATCAGTCTCTCTGAAGCTGGGAGAAACCATGGCCTAGAAACTCAAAAAGTCACACTTCTAACAGCACCACTGGCTGACTGGGGAGAGAGCCCTTGCTCAGAGCAGCAGTGGAACAACCTGGGGAGTGCATGGATGGGCAGGTGGGCTCTTAGCCACTCCAAGCCAGAGTGGAGAGGTGAGGTTTTCGTGCCGCTCCTGAGCCTGTGCCCTTAGCAGGGGCCAACCCCTAGATATGCCCCTGCTCCAGGAATAAGGGCTGTGCCCCCCACAACACGTTATTTGTGGGCACCTTTGGGCACTCCCATTTGGGTTTAATTTGAAGAGGGTTGCCTTTATATTTTGCTTGTTTTTTGTTTTGGGCTGTATTTTGCCCACTTTTATGGGATCAGGGTTCAAATCCTCTAGGCCAAAAAATGTTGGGGACTCCCTGAGTTAGGAGACTACAAGGGCTTGTAAAAGAGAGCTTGGGGGGGCCCTACTACAAGGTTTTGAAATTTTGGGATTTGCAGTATCAAATATTCTGTCACTTCCTTCTTCTGCTGAGCCAAGCCAGGAACTTGATCTGCGTAAAACACAAACTCCTGCCTAAGCCCGATATTGTGCTCCAGATATAGGTTGAAGTGCATTATTTAACCACAAACAGAAAAGTTTTGTTGAACATAACTGAGCGATAAGCTGCATTTGTAACTAAAGTGTGAACCCTACAGTATACAATTAGCTCATTTTATTTTCTCACAGGCCTTCATCCAACAGCCAAGCCCACCAACAAAAATAGGGAGGACAAAAGCAACTCTCTGCTTGCCAGTCTCAACATGGGCAAGATGGTATTTCCTGTCCCTGCATAAACTCTGCTGAATTTTTGGGGCCTTGGTGAAAAGCCATCCACTAAAAGTATTTTCTCTCTCTCGTAACACAATATATAGTTTCAGGAGATCTAACGTGATAGACTTAAGTGGTGTAATATATATTTGCAGGGTCTCTTGTTGAAGGAAAGGTGATCAAAGGCAGACAGGCTTATTTCAAGGCTCAGTGTTACTAGGCTATGACATTTTCTAGCAGACTCTATTCTAACTTATTAAGCAGTTCGTAGATCATAAAATAAACTTGCCAAAATTGAAATCAGATTCATTTGTTGAGAAGATAGCAAGTATTTTTGAAGTTCTCAGCTGCAATTTAGCCACTGACAACTCAATGGAAAAGTTCCTTCTTTTTTATTCCAGTTGCATAGAATATAGGACTACTTTCTCCATACTGTATAACCAAAGTTGCTTTCCAGAGTAAGGACGTGACAAGTATTTCTTTGAAAGATAAAAAAGAAGCTGTATTTTTATCATTATTATTAAGGAAAAGACTAATTATCAAGAGAATCCCTCAGTTATGGCTATTTGAACTAAATCCACCCCTCAGTCTATTTTATTTATCTCCTTCAATATCACACAAGTTTGTACAGCCCCATGTTCCGCCTTCTCTCTCTCTGCACAACTGACCAACTTATACCAATATTTTTAGTTTTTCTAGCAGGGGGAAGATTGGCAACTGCCAAAAATCAAATATTTATAACTGTAATTTTGGGCCACAATTTTAAAAATGAAAAACAAAATCCCATAAGTAAACAAACGGGGGGAAAGCCAAGGAGGGGTGCGTTAGAGCTAAAAGCCTGGAAGAGCTTAGTCTAAATTACTTTTTTTTAATGTGTTCTGTCAGTAAAGGGACTTTGATTTGTAAAGCCAAAAAAAAAAGTTTCTTCATTGTATTCCCTAGGCTGCTGCTTCACTTAGCAGAATGAAATAGGATTGATACATGGGAGAGTAGCCAGATGTTATATATTTTCTGGATGGAATTTGAAAAAAGACATTGTTCCGTAAGTGAAGGTACAGGGAGTCATATAAGCCATGTCACTGTGCCAGTGAGGAAAACACTGACAGAAGCAGGAGTCAAATAATTAGTTGGAAGCAGTGAGACAAAGCAGAATCAACATGGTTCTCTCATCCCAGATACCCCCTTTAAAATGAGGGAACAGTAGCAGCTTTAGAACTCAAGAACGGCAAGAAAGAAAAATGCATCAGGATTCTAGAAGAAGGAAACAATTTGGACTCTATGAGCACAACACAAAGGCTGCAATTTGAAAGTTCGATAAGAAAGAAATTTGTAGGTCCAGCACACTACTGAACGGGCTCATTCTATGGATTCTGGAGAAAGGGTGTGGGAAGCCCCCTATCCTACACCTTTTTAACTCTGATTAAACACATCACTGCATGGTACAAATTTGTTTTACTTCAATTCTAAAACTTGAAAAAACACACACATAAATATGCTGGAACAGAAAAGGGGACCAAATTCAGTGTTTTGGAACCATGGCTAAGGGCAGGAATTTGATGGAAGAAAACCTCATAACACATTTGCCAGTTGCATCTTGATCCCTCCCCCAGATCTATCTCAGAAGTCCAGAATCGCTAGCATCCATCCAACATTCACACAAGAGCCCTAGGCAACCCAGTCTTCATCGTCCTCCTCCTCCTCGTCCTCATTGTCATCATCTTCCTCATAGTCTTCATCTTCTACTTTTATCATAGCGGCTGCCACCTCCTCATCTACTTCGTCCTCATCCCCCAAGCACACCTCTACCTCACATGGTGCTGGTGAGTGTGAATTGAAATACTTCAGCACCTGCTCAGCCTCTATGCCAGACTCATGGCACAGTGCCGACAAGTCGTTTTCCTGCAGCTGCAGGTCGCTTGCACGATACCGTTTCAGTGGGCTTATGTCTGGATGGTGAGCATGCAGTGGGTGAGAAGGTAATGAGGAGACAGGCTCTGGATTCTGTCCTGCATTGTCCCGAAACCATTTCAGCTGGCCATGTTTGAGGGCATAGCGAGTGTCTCCAAACCACTGGATGATCTCTGCTCGTGGTAACCCAGTGATCTTCTCCAGCTGGTGATAATCCTCTCTCCTGGCCCACTGACGACGAAGGAAGAAGGACTTTAACATATCCAGTTGCTCCTTTGTTTTTCGCCTAGGCTTGCGAAGAATGTCCGAGAGGTAGCCTGAAGCCTGCTGCTGGTCCCTCACAGGGCACTGATAGTTCTGAAGGCTGTGTGACTCAACATTGGCTGTAGCTGTAGAGGATGATGGGGTAGCTTTGGCGGAAGAGACCGCTGGAAGAATCACTGGGTGATGGCCACCATTCACTGCAGGGGTGACAGGTTCAGCCGGCTGCAGGGATGCTTTGGTGAGACCCCAGGTCATAGGGTGAGAGTTATGGAAGTTGCGATCCAAGCTGGTGGTTGTGGTAGGTAGATAAGAACTAGAAAGGATTTCTTTGGTATTGTGAAGCTGCACGGAGGTTCCTGAAGGTTCACAGTTCTCCTGAACTTTGTTATGGTGGGACAAGACATTCCCTTTCAATTCCCAAATGTCCTGAGTTATTCTCCCAAGTTCCCTCATTCCTTGGGCTGTGGTGAAGTGGCTTAAGGGAGTTATGGAAGACTGCTGGTTCGGCGGATATTTAGTGGAATGGTGCACAGAGGTAGGAACCGATTGGTGATATTCCTGACTCTTACAAGTTTGGTGCCAGGGGTCATCATCATTCCTGGCAAGCAGGCAGCTAAAGTGAAGCTGGTCCTGATGGTAGATGAGGCGAGCTCGAGTCTCTTCAATTTCCTCTGCACTCCAACTGATGCCACAGCGTAGGCGCTGTGCCATGAACCAGGCCTTGACCTTTTCCATGTGGAGGCCATGACGCAGGCAGAGCAAGGCCAGATCAGAGAGGCTGGGGTATGGAAAATAGCTGAAAGTTTGTAGCAGATGCTGGTTGCCATCAAGGTCACTTGTCTGTGCTGCCTGTGTCCACACCAACTGGAGGTCCTCAGAGATGGGTGGTAGGCAGATCAAACCGGGAGGTGAGCCAAGGCAGCCAGGGGCATCCTTGTTGGGGGGCATGACTGCTGTCGTCTACAAGAAGTCTTCTATCTCCGGGGATCAGCTTCTGTCCCTCAGAAGAGCTAGAACCAAAGAGCAAAGGAAGAATATGGGTCAAAGGAAGAAGAAATCACATTAGAGGAAGAGGGGACAGGAGAGACAGCACCACAATGAGGAAATTGTAGTGTTCACTTCCAGGTGAAGAAAAGAAATATTTCCGGCACAGTGGTACCTCGGGTTACATACGCTTCAGGTTACAGACTCCGCTAACCCAGAACTAGTACCTCGGTTTAAGAACTTTGCTTCAAGATGAGAATAGAAATCGTGCTCCTGCGGTGCGGCGGGCGGCAGCGGGAGGCCCCATTAGCTAAAGTGGTACATCAGGTTAAGAACAGTTTCAGGTTAAGAACAGACCTCCGGAATGAATTAAGTTCTTAACCTGAGGTACCACTGTATATAGCAAGCCACCGTGTTTGGGAGAGGAGTTCTAACCTAGCCTTCTTTCTATGTGCAGAGAATTGGTCATGGTGGTGTGGGGTGATAGAAAAGCATTTACAGTGGTACCTCAGTTTAGGAACAGTCCTGTTTACAAATGATTCGGTTTATGAATTCTGCAAAACCAGAAGTAGTGTTCCGGTTTGCGAACTTTACCTCAGTCTAAGAACAGAATCCAAACAGTGGAAGGGCACCAGCAGCAGGAGGCCTCATTAGGGAAAGCGCGTCTCGGTTTAAGAACAGTTTTGGTTTAAGAACGGACTTCCGGAACGGATTAAGTTCATAAACCAAGGTACCACTGAGGTTATCATTAAAGGTCCCACCTGTAATCCCAAAGTGCTACAGCCTAAACACAGGCTCACTGCTTTAGAGTCACAGGACTGTTTTACTGATGGAGACCAACACAGCCTCCCTTCTAGATAACATTTAGCAAGTAAATAGCCTTTTTGGCCTGCTTCAGAATTAACTTATCAGCCCCCAAACAAGCTGCATGCCATTGCACTCATCCCAGACCCCTTCCCTCCTCTCATGCTCCTAGATTTGCTGCCAATATTGAGGCTTATTTAAACCAGTTTTCCATACATCCAAACTGGCAAACAGATTTAATTTCCTTCTTATTAAGCAAGATATGAAGCCAGAATTAGATCTGGTTTGAGACTAGAAAAACATATGTGGGGTCTGCAACAAAATGTTACAGTGTGCCGTCGTTCAGGAGTCCAGCTGCTCCATCCCCCTCCCCAGCAGTTCTCTGCCTCCGCTACCCTGCCCCAAACATCCAACCAGCAATTCTATGGCCACTGAATATGATCAGTCTTCATTTGGGTGTGTTTCTGTTTTAGGCATTTTCCTCTGACTTTTTTGTCTTTCTGCAAACCTTGGGGTCCCCCAAAGCCTGCTGATGCCCCCTAAAACAGGGTTTCCCAAACATCTGAGTTCATTTACCCCTTGATAAGCTTATAAAGTTGTCATCAACAAGTGAAACAATGTTTTGTTTTTTAAATCAATATATAATAAACATTCCTCATAGGCAAGGAAGGTATCCTCTGTACATTCCCATGCCTTTTATTTCTGATACTCATAATTCCTGATTAAATTTTCAAACAATACACAGAAATTTTATTTTCCACTCCTAGTCCTTTTCAGTGTTCAACACTCCCATTGTTCTAGGTTCATTTTGAGAGAGGGAATTTCATTAGTGCAAGCAGTTTCTGAGCTAAGGGCTCAGTTCAGCGCCTAAGATTTCAGATTAAAACTGCAGAGTGGAAAGAAAGGAGGACATTTTTCTTCCTCCCCTCTTCCAGCTACTCTCTGGAGGAGAGACCCTCTTAAGAATATTAGGGGGGTGGGCAGGGGAAAGACTAAACCATGTGAAAGGTGAACACAATATTTTAGGTGCAGTTCATTCACTTTGTACAGTGGTGCCTCGCAAGACGAAATTAATTCGTTCCGCAAGTTTTTCGTCTTGCGAAGCACGGTTTCCCATAGGAATGCATTGAAAATCAATTAATGCGTTCCTAGGGAAACCGCTTGCCAGGCTGGCGGTGCGGAGAAGGGCTTTTCTCCCCACCGCAAGCCTTCAGGACAGGTACGGGAACAGAGGGGAAGGCGCGCAGCGCTTTCCCTCTGTTCCCGGGGCTTGCGTGGGAGGAGGGTTTTTCCTCCCCACCGCCAACATTCAGAACAGCATTCTGAATGTTGGCGGTGGGAAGGAAAACCCTCCTCCCACCCCAAGTCTTCAGGAAAGCCATCCGAAGCCGGGCGGCGGGAGAAGGTGTCCCCGCCCGCTGCCCGGCTTTGGAGCATCGTTCCAAAGCCGGGCGGCGGGAGAAGGCGTTCCCGCCCCGCCGCCCGGCTTCGGAGCTTCGTTCCGAAGCCGGGCGGCGGGAGGAGGCGTTCCCACCCCGCCGCCCAGCTTCGGAGCTTCGTTCCGAAGCCGGGCGGCGGGAGGAGGCGTTCCCGCCCCGCCGCCCAGCTTCGGAGCTTCGTTCCGAAGCCGGGCGGCGGGAGGAGGCGTTCCCGCCCCGCCGCCCAGCTTCGGAGCTTCGTTCCGAAGCCGGGCGGCAGGAGAAGGAGTTCTCGCCCCGCCGCCCGGCTTCGGAGTTTCGTTCCGAAGCCGGGCGGCGGGAGGAGGCGTTCCCGCCCAGCCGCCCGGCTTCGGAGCTTCGTTCCGAAGCCGGGCGGCGGGAGGAGGTCCGAGGACAGTGAGGAAGACGCGCTGTGCTTCCCCGCTGTCCCGGAGATTTCCCTATGGGCTTTCGTCTTGCGAAGCAAGCCCATAGGGAAATTCGTTTTGCGAAGTGCCTCCAAAACGGAAAACCCTTTCGTCTAGCGGGTTTTCCGTCTTGCGAGGCGTTCGTCTTGCGGGGTACCACTGTATTCTTGTTATAAAAAAGCACACCTATACATTCCATTGTTGCGCCCATATCCTAGGTTTAAGGTGCCGTTTAGCTCCTAGCTTTCATATCTCAGTTTCTAACATTGGTCCTCTTCTGGTATGGGTTTAACACTTCAGCCCCCTTTCGACTCTGAGGTCTGTATTCACTCCCTGCACAGTTCCACCAACCTGGGGTGTGGGGAGCTATATTAGCCATCGCTTTGGAAAACTCTGCTCTAGAGCATGGAAACAGATATATAGCTCAGTTTCAACACTGTGTGCATCTGTTTAGTTCCATTATATATGTTCTAGAATTGTTCACTTGGGACTCCAGTTTGATCCAATTTCCGCATTTACCTTCTGCTATCTCACGTGTTCCCTCGTCTTCATCCAAATCTTTTAAACTGCAAGCCTCTGGGGAGCCTGTTATGTATTTCAGCATACAATGATTTACACACACACACACACACACAGCACTGATCAGCCAGACTGAAATTCCTATTTTTCTCTAATAGTTTTAGAAAGCAGATGGCCTTTAATTAAATAGGATAATGAAGCAACAATGGAACAATGAATGCCAATTTCCAAAGGCACCAGAAGATTACCCGTATTTTTCGCTCCATAGGACGCTCCTGACCAAAAGACGCACCAAGTTTTTAGAGCAGGAAAAAAAGAAAAAAAAATCTGACTCAAATGTTGTACTAAGCTATTTAAAACAGCAAAGTGTGTGGCTCCTGTCCACTTTGCTGCTTTAAAGCGAGCCACGGTATATAATGAAGAGAATGGAAAAAGGAGAGACATTCCATTATAATGCAGCTGTTTTCCTTATCACTGGGAAGTCAGTATTGGCAGCAGTCACAAAAACTAAAATTTGAGCATTTTACTGTTATTAATCAAGAATATTAATAGTCAGGGAGAGAAACCAGGGCTGTGCAAATGAGAAGTGCTTGGAGTATGGAGGAACAGCAAAGAGATCAAATGATTGCGCTCCAGTTCCTAAATCTCTGAAGTTTTCCCAAAACGGGCATGGTTGTTTTGAAAGGAAGATTCAAAATGGAGTGACTGAGCAAAGAACAGAGGAGGAAAAGAGGGCAGATAAATAGCTTCCATTCAATACCAACACAATGTTTTTGGTTTAGTATAGGTGGACTGTACTTGTAAGAATTTGTATAATGAATTATAGAATTGGAGTGGAATATCAGTGCCTCTTTTCAGCAATAAGGATTAGCTGCTAGGAACATGGTCCACACACAAACACACAGGATGTCTGGTTATAGTTGTGCAGTTTAAACTGTTTATGAGCCAGATGCCTGCTCAGTTTTAGCTGAGCTCACTATTACTGGTTTGTGGAGATGCTTTGCATGTATTTAGGACTATTTCTGCAAAACTGCTACTTGAAGAAATCCCCAAACTTAATATTTTTAAACTTCAAATGAAGCTCAGAATCCAGTTAGGCAATCCTTTGCAGTTGAATTAGGAGGCACTGAGAGACAGCAATTTGCTGCTCCCCACCCCCACCCCCACCCCCACCCAGCATCCCAGGAGCGTGGGGCAAAGAGCAGCCCAGGAGCACACAGCCTTCCCTCTGCTTGCAAACCTTGTCGGGGTTTCAGGGGAAAGCAGCTGCTGGCAGAGCTGCGTGGCTCCTCCCCCCACCCCCAAAGAGCAGCCCAGGAGCACACAGCCTTTCCTCTGCTTGCAAACAGTGTGTATCTGAAGAAGTGTGCATGCACACGAAAGCTCATACCAAGAACTAACTTGGTTGGTCTTTAAGGTTCTTCTGGAAGCAATTTTTTTTGTCTTGCAAACCTTGTCCGGGCTTCAAGGGAAAGCAAAGGCTGTAGGCAGAGCAGTGTAGCTCCTCCTCCCCCCCCACCCCAGGAGCACACAGCCTTCCCTCTGCTTGCAAACCTTGTCGGGGCTTCAGGGGAAAGCAAAGGCTGTAGGCAGAGCAGTGTGGCTCCCCACCCCGCAAAAAGCACCCCAGGAGCGCGGGGCAAAGGCGCACAGCCTTCCCTCTGCTTGCAAAACTTGTCGGGGCTTCAAGGGAAAGCAAAGGCTGCCGGCAGAGCACCATGGCTCCTCCCCCACCCCCAAGAGAAGCCCGGGAGCGCACAGCCTTACTACTGCTTGCAAACGTTGCTGGGGCTTAAGGGGAAAGCGGAGGCTGCCGGCAGAGCACCGTGGCTCCTCCCCCACCCCTAAAGTGCGGCCCAGGAGCGCAGGGCAACAGCGATTTGGCTCCAGGGACCACACATTCGCTCCATAAGAGGCACAGACTTCTTCCCTTACTTTTTAGGAGGGAAAAGGTGCGTCATATGGAGCGCAAAATACAGTAAATGCCCCAAAAGTCAGCATTAAAAGAAAATAAATCACAAATCCATCAAAAGCAGACAGCATTTTCCAGGGTTTTGCAACTAGCTATGTAAACATCATAGTACTAGCTGCCCAGATCCGCTTCATCCGATCTTTAAGGAGGGGAGGAGTTTTGCAGAATATGTGTCTGTGTATAACTATTCTCCAGGTACTCAAGACATAAGCATCCCCAAAGGAGGACCGTTTACCCAACCGATATCCTGAGATTTCACAGTACCACCCCCTTTTGCCAGCAACCTACTTTAACTTCAACATTTCCCTTTCCAGCACTGCCTAATCTTCCCTCTTGCTTTTCCTCCCTAGGTCAAAATCCCCTCCCATCTCCCCAAGCCTGAATTCTCTCCTCTATACTCACTTTTCTCCCTTGACTCCTCCCCCACTTCAGGACTTTCCTTCTTTCTCTTCCCTGCTCCCTGCAGTGCACGCTGGGAAACAGGGAAGAAGGCGGGGTTTCTCAATCCAGACACTTCGGGTCCTCTCCTAACTTGATTTTACTTGGGTTATTTATTTATTTAAGGAGTGCTTTCCTTAACCTTTTTCATTTTCTCCATCAGCTTCTGCAGATCTGCTCCCATTAAGTTGCCCAGAACTCCCCACCCCTTTAAAAAATACCCTAACCCTAGTGTTTATACACTGAAAATAAATACACTTTATTATAAAAAAAGATTTAAGAACTTTTAACCCATCTTGTTTCCAAAAGAAAGTTAAAGTCGTTAACAAATTCTGACGTTGCAACAAATGGTTTTCAAAAACTCATAAAAATAAAGCCATCTAGTGAAAAGCTGGGGAAATAAGTGAAATAAATAAATAAATGCGGAGGAATTTGTCCACCTGTACTCAGAGCCAAGCCCGTCCCACCTCTGCCACCTGCTCACTGCATAGCCCTTGGCAAAGTCCCTCTCTTTCAACCTCAGCTCCCAACATCCAGCTCCAGCATCTAGCAAGGTCCATGGGAGTTCAGAAGCCCACTGTAGAATGGGAGTGGCATAGCAAGGGCAAACAGAACAGCAACTGAATGGAATTCTGCGTGTGAAATGGTTCTGCAGAACTGATGAGTTAACATTCATCCAGTCACACCCTGCCACTGGCTCCTTAATCCCATATCTGGTGGCTGTCTGTGTTACTGAGTACACCCAGCGACAAGAAAAAGGTGCTGTGCAGCCAAATCCCAAATGACTGGGGGTGGGTAGCCAATGTGTCCTTCAGATGTTGGACTACAGTTCCCATCACCACTGGCTTTTGGCCATGCTAGCAGGGGCACCTTGCCAACAAAGGTCTGTATAGTTAAAGCTATGGTTTTCCCAGTAGTGATGTATGGAAGCAGTGGCATAGCGTGGGTTGTCAGCACCCGGGGCAAGGCAAGTAATTTGCGCCCTCTAACCCGTGGATTTGCGCCCCCTAACCTGTGGATTTGCCCTAACCCCAGATGTTGCGCCTGGTGTGGCCGCCCCCCCCTGCACCCCCCCACGCTACGCCACTGTATGGAAGTGAGAGCTGGACCATAAAGAAGGCTGATCGCCGAAGAATTGATGCTTTTGAATTATGGTGCTGGAGGAAGACTCTTGAGAGTCCCATGGACTGCAAGAAGATCAAACCTATCCATTCTTAAGGAAATCAGCCCTGAGTGCTCACTGGAAGGACAGATCCTGAAGCTGAGGCTCCAAGACTTTGGCCACCTCATGAGAAGAGAAGACTCCCTGGAAAAGACCCTGATGTTGGGAAAGATGGAGGGCCCAAGGAGAAGGGGGCGACAGAGGACGAGATGGTTGGACGGTGTTCTCGAAGCTACAAACATGAGTCTGACCAAACTGCGGGAGGCAGTGGAAGACAGGAAGTGCCTGGCGTGCTCTGGTCCAGGGGGTCACGAAGAGTCGGACACGACTAAGCAACAACAACAACAAGCAGCAGGGGCTCATGGGAGCTGTAGTGGAACAATACCCAAAGGGCACCATGTTGGCCGTCCTGCTGGACCAGATTGGCATCATGTTCCCTAGCCCACAAGGAGGGCATGAGCGCAGTCCACTCTTTTGCTCATTTCCATCCCCAGCAAATGGATTTCAGAGGCAGACTGCCTCCAATACTGCACACAGCCATCTCAACAGCATTCTGCTCAACCAATTTGTTTAACTGAGTGTAGGTATTGTTCAGGAGTTCAGCGCCACTGAATTAAATGGGGCTTACTCCCAAGTAAGTGTGCATAAGATTGAAACCTTAGCATGTGTTCTAAGAATTCAAAGGTCTGAAATATAGAATAAATGTTCATAAACGTATAAGGCAAACACATACCTAAGTATATAAACCACGTGTCTGAAATAGTACAGGAGAACAATCCTGAAGCCATTTTGACTCTGCCAAATTGACCTTCAAATATTATCTGCAAGGAGGAAGGAAATGGGGAAAGCTTTCCAATTGTGTTTTGATTGTAGGGACTTACACCTCCCTTTTCAAATACTGTCTGGCAAGTTGAAATAAATAAAAAAATGTCCAGTAGCCCCTTAGAGACCAACCAAGTTTGTTCTGGGTATAAGCTTTCGTGTGCATGCATGAAATCTAGAGTCTGGCAAGTATCTGTTATCAATATGCGTAAGAGATTCAGGAACTAAGTATTTACCATCTCAAAGGAATGGCCAGGCTACCCAGAAAATGCAATCAAGTAAGGCATTATCAGGTATCCTAGGAGACAGGAGAGTTGCAACACTCTCAAATGTCTGATGGAGACTGCCTCCTTCTATAATGTATGTATGATTTTTTTGGGGGGGGCGGTCCTTGGGCTACAGGGTGGGCAATTTCAAAAGTCTATAGAGTGATACCTCAGTTTACGAACGTAATCCATTCTGGAAGTCTGTTCTTAAACCAAAGCCGTTCTTAAACCAAGGCGCGCTTTCCCTAATGAGGCCTCCTGCCACTATAAACTCCTAGGGGCAGGGACCTGTCTTGTTACTCTGTAAGGATTCGATCCTGCCACCTGCAACGGTTTGCTTCTTCACTGCATTCCCTGCAGAGAACACCCTGGCAAAGCAGCACCCAGCAAGACTGAACTCTGCCTCCCTAGACGCTAATTTCTGTCCATTAACTGGTGTCACCTGGTAGTTGTGGGGAACCACAGGCCAACCGGGATCTTCCGGGCTGCCATTCCCATCCCCTGCTGCAAAACTTCAGGCACACCACTGCTGACACAACCCCATACTGTCTCCTGCCCAATTCACCCCCAAATCCTTTTGCAGCATCTTTCAGTCCTCCCCACTTGCCCCCCCTCCCGATCCCATACCCCTGACTACCTGCTTTAACTACAATCCCACACAAGTGTGAGCATGCCTTACTCTCTCCTCCTCTCTACTCTGCCACTTCTCCCCCAGGGCTCCCACTTTGCCCAGGTACGCTTCCCAGAACAAATAAGGAAGGAAACCGGAAGACCGCTGTTTGTTTTTCTCCCCTCCTTCCTTACTCCACCGCAATATCGTCTTATTATAGCAGTTTTGGGAAGAGGTGGTAAACAAAAGAGAAAGAAGGAGGGATGGACAGGCCGAAAGAGGTGGAGGGGTAGGGCGAGTGGCGGAAGAGAAAAGGATGAGAGGAATCGATGGAAAGGGGGAATATTTTTGCATGCGGAAGACGAGAGAGCGAGCAATCTAAAGAAAGAGGAGAGCAGAAAAGAGGGGCAGAGTTCCTGGGAGAAAAGCCAGGAAGAGGAAAAGGAGGGATGTAGCACCAAGGCTAGCAAAAGGGGGGGCAATGAAGGAAAGGCTCAGTAGAGAAGGGATTGCAACAGGCCCAGGCGAAGCGGGAGGGGAGGGCGCAGCTGAGGCTCCTGCCGACCACGGCCACTCACCCGCCAGGGCCTGATCCGGCTCTTCTTCCCCCTTGCAGTCGGGTTCCGCCCGCTTGGGGAGCCGACTTGGGGAGCCGGCGGGGATGGAGGAGGTTGGGCTGGGCAGCCGTGCGGGCCGGGGACCTGCCATTGGCTGGACGAGGCAGCCGGCCAGCAAAGCCGGACTCCTGGGATCTCCAAGCAGAGCGAGCCAAGCAGCGAGGCGTCCAACCAGCAGGACTCCTGGGTTCCACTCAGAACGGCCGTCTGTTTTTGAATAGGAACCAAGGTTCAAGCCACACCCCCTTACCTGAAAACCCAGCCCCTTCGCCCCACATGTGTGGGAATGGTTCTTTACTCTGAATGTGCTCAGAAGCATCTTTGCGCGCCCCCTTCATTGTGGCTTCAGGCGTTCCAGAATACTCAGAATGCTCTTTGTCCGATGGGGAGGGACTGCGATTTTAATATATCTTTGTATGTGGAGGCTTGTGTGTGGGTGAATAAGTCGAAATAATATCAAGTAATTGCGAGGATGAGAAAGCATGTGCTTCCCCCCTGAGGCCATTGGGAAGGTATGGGACCACATTAGGGTAGAGATCTGAAGCTTGGTTCTGTGGTGGGGTTTTGTTCAAAACTCAGGAGAGCATTTAACTAAGTTTTATTCAGAGCTGACCTATAGAAAACAATTAACATGACAAACATTGCTCCATTAATTTCAGTGGACCCACACTCTGAATAAAACTTAAGTTGATTAGCAGTTTGTTAACAGTCCAGCTGGGATTTGGCGACCTTTCTGGTCATCATATGTCTTGCACATAAACCATTACTCTACACCTGCTTTATAGTTGATTTTGGGGTGCCTCATTAGTAAAACAAGATGACTGATTTTGCGTTCCTCATTAGTAAAACAGGGATTGTTGATCTTCCATCTCCACTCAACTTCCTCTTTACTCTTTGAACCTATCATTGGACAACTGCCTTGTAGAAAGCATGTTCATAATGTCGAGGGAAAGACATTCTGCACATGCTCAGAGGCACCATTAAAATAAATACATTATATGTGAGGGTAAACTCTGGTAAGGCAGATGTGCACAGCCTTTGGCCCGCCTGACAGGACTGAACTACACCTCCTCATCCCTGGCCCATCAGCTATGCTTGCCCTTAGATGCTGATGAGAATGGTAGTTCAGTCACATCTGGAGGACCTCCACACGTAAGCAGAGAGATGGCTGCACCAGATAAATATGCAGAGTTTACGGCACTGGTGATCTGGGTCCTTGCAGAAGGGAAAGAGGTGGCCCGTCATGTTTTGCCACCTGAAGTAAAATTTTGGGAAGGTGCCGACCACCCCCTTGCAGCCCCCACCAAAGCCTCACTTACCGGGGTCATGCAGCTGTGGCTTCCAGTGAGATCTCGTAAGAGCCACGAGTGGAGACCTCCACGAGATCTCACTGGAACCCGCTGCAGATGCTTCTCCTCGCTTTGGCAGGGCATCCCTGAGAAGGGATGGATGCTCGCGAGGGTCAGTCGTGTTGGTGTAATGTGAACATTGAGTGAAATTAAAGTGTTTGGTCTCATGTCTTGAGTTAGCACATCCCCAATGTCTGGATGTCCTGAGATAAGGGTACCAGGTGCACTGGGTTACCGTAGCAACACCAGTGAGCTGGAGCGCATTACTTGCTGACTCTGCATTTGTGAGAGTCGGGGGAAGCAGTGGCGTAGCGTGGGGGGTGCAGGGGGGCCGGCCGCATCGGGCGCAACATCTGGGGTTAGGGCAAATCCACAGGTTAGGGGGCGCAAATCCACGGGTTAGGGGGCGCAAATCCACGGGTTAGGGGGCGCAAATTACTTGCCTTGCCCCGGGTGCTGACAACCCACGCTACGCCACTGGGGGGGAAGAGGCTGTGGGTTTTACACAGCATGGTGATGTTAGTGGATCTCTGTACATGTGCATCTTTACTTTGTAGCAGGAACCCCCCCCCCATCATTCAGTTTGTACAAACTTCACACACACACACACACACACACACACACTCACACACTACATACGCCACACTTCTGTTATAAATTCATAGAAAAATCAACCATACATTGGATTTGCACTGTTCCATTTTTATTTTACTCCATATGACAAGGACTATCAAAGGGGGGTGGCTTATTTCTGGTCAGCCATAATCCCTTCACCATCCCAGCACATCCACAGGAGCCCTGCCCAGTTGCTATGCCAACCCTGATGGTCCTAGACAGAAGACCATCAAGATCACAAAGAACTTGCATATGGGAGTGGATTCAGCATGGACTAAAACAAAGGACAATGATCAGATCTTCCCTCTGGGGGCAGGAAACTGCCAACTCCCCTTTGTCTCCTGAAAGTGACTCATGGGGAGGGGGAAAGGAGGAACCAGCCAGGTGACAGGACACTCAGGTTACCACCACAACTCCTCCCTCAACCCCTCCTTTCTGTAATGTATGCATGATGTTTCTGGGGGTGGGCTTGACCTAGAGGATGGGAATTTCAAAAGTTTTAATAAGGTCTTGCACACCATCTTTCTGGGTCTTTCCTCTCTCCTGCAAGTGAGGGGAACACCCTGATGCATCAGTTCAATAAAGGCCAAGCCTACAGGCTGCTGTTTTGCTCCAAGTTATCCTGGTTGGTGTCTTTGTTTTGTCCAAGGGAGCCCTCGGATTTTTCCGGTAACAGTTTGGCTACTTTGCAACTTCAAGGACTAGAATAACTGTATATAGTAGACAGTAGTGTTGTGTTTTGTCTCGTATCTGGAGTCACCAACAAGTCAGAATGGCTCAGCCTTCTTGCTGAAGAGCAGGAGGACTCCAGGATCTCGTCTGGAAATGTAAGGTCCACTATAGTACCGATGAAACTTTGGGGAGCTGTCAAATGGGAGTTTGGCACAGAGTGTCATCTCAACGCTCCTGGCATATCTCTGCATTCCATCTGAAGCCGGAGAGGCTGTGAAGGTGTCAGACCAGTGTCTGGAAGCAGTGATGGAGGCCAATAAACTGAGATCTCTGGGTGGTGTTGCACTCCCTCAAAAGAAACAAGCTCAGAGTCTGGGGATGCTGCCAGATTGCAGCTTGTCACACAAGTCCGAAGAGGCTGCTGTGGCTAGGAATGCTCAGGCCCAGTTTAGGCTGCTTCACCAGCCATGTCTGATCCTGGTCTTGTTTGTCCATGATCTGGTGACCTCCCGCCTGGACCGCTGCAGTGCACTGTATGTGGGGCTTCCCTTGGAGACGGACCAGATGATGCAGCTAGGCTGAAAAGTGGGGCAGCCTTGATGCTGTTTTCCTCTGTTTCCCCCTGGAAAGCTAGTTTCTGGTTGTTTCTTATTATCCAGGTCGGGATACCTTTGTCATCCCCATAAAAAGCTGTTTGTAAGTAGAATAATAATAATAATAATAATAATAATAATAATAATAATAATAATAATAATATAATTTATTATTTATACCCTGCCCATCTGGCTGAGTTTCCCCAGCCACTCTGGGCAGCTTCCAATCAAGTGTTAAAAACAATACAGCATTAAATATTAAAAACTTCCCTAAACATCCTATTAATAAGGACCACAACACCTCAAGGACCGCCTCTTTCCATATGAACCTACCCAGACCCTGAGATCACCTTCTGAGGCCCTCCTTCGTGTGCCTCCTCCTCGAGAGGTCCGTAGGGTGGCAACACGAGAACAAGGCCTTCTCTGCAGTGGCTCCCCGTCTGTGGAATGCTCTCCCCAAGGAAGTTCGCCTGCCACCTTCATTATACACCTTTAGGCACCAGGCAAAAACGTTCCTTTTTAACCAGGCCTTTGGTTGATCTGATTTACATCCTATTCCCTTTTAAAATGTGTTTGTTTTGGATGGAAGGCTATTGGGGTTTTTTAAAATTTTTATTATGTATTTCATGGTTTTATATCTTGATTTTATTCTGTGATCCGCCCTGAGACCTCCGGGTTTAGCGTGGTATATAAATTCAATAAATAATATAAATAATAATAAATAATCAGCTCAGAAGATAATCTGGCTGATGAGGCTTCTGCAACACAACTGCCTTGTCTTGTGAACTGCCCCGAGATCTTGTGATGAGGGACAATATATAAAACGAATAAATGACAACAAGAACAACAACAGTACAGGTAAAAAGATTCATTTTATTATCATTACAAAGATGGGAAACTGACAAAAGTCTTTATATCTAGGTCCGTGAAGCAATTGACTTGGACGAGGTGTTCAGAAAACTTGGGGCTGCGGAGGGTTTGGAAAAGGGGCATTCCCCCCCCCCAAGGTGGTTATAGGCAGGTACCTAGGACACCTTTTTGCCGGGTGCAATGCTTATAAGCAGAAGGTGTTTTCTCTTTGGGGAGGGGTGCCTTAAACAGTGAGCATTAGGGAATAAGACAAAGTCAGCTGGGTTGTAAGAAAAAGCAGAGAGAGGGGACTGTAGCTGGCAAGATACCCATAATAAGCAGAGGAAGAAGGTGGGACAGAAGACATTGTTGCTTGGGAGGGATGAGTCCAGAGGGGTCCATAGAACCAAAAAGGTTAATGAACAGCAACAAAAAGCAAATGCTTCATTCATGTTTGCTCAGTGAAGAAAGGAAGATTGGGTGTGACTGGGGCAGGCAGCCCAAGCAGAGGCTAGGGCAAGGCGAGTGGGTGAGAGACCCATAGATCTCAGTCCCGGCAACTGGAACATTGTGCGTGGGCTCCCCCATAGCCCAGGCAGTCTGGCCCTAGACATTGGCAGCAGGCATTGTGGAACCAGCGGTAGCGCCAGGCGCCCACCGACTGGCAAGCCGTCCGGCACCGGCTCATGGACAGGCACTCGTTGAAGAAAATGGACTGGCACGGTGGCATGGTGGCATTGAGGCCCTTGGCATCCGAGAGGGCCAAGCCTGGAAGCGAGAGGAGAGAAGGTTTGCGGCCGTTGCGGTTGAACCCATGACAAAAGCTGCAGCTCAGAAATCGTGCGTCTGCTTTGCACAATGTTCCAGGCTCGATCCCCAGTTAGGGCTAGGAGAGAATCTAGACTGAGACCCTGGAGAGATGCTGCCAGCCTGTGTGGGCAGTATGGAGCTAGCCTGGCCAAAGGGAAGGCTAGGAGGCAACGGCTGGGAATGACGAGCTCATGTGTGAATTGAACCAGGGCCTTTTAGAAATAGAATCATAGAATCATAGAGTTGGAATAGACCACAAGGGCCATCGAGTCCAACCCCCTGCCAAGCAGGAAACACCATCAGAGCACTCCTGACATATGGTTGTCAACCCTCTGCTTAAAGACCTCCAAAGAAGGAGACTCCACCACACTCCTTGGCAGCAAATTCCACTGTCAAACAGCTCTTACTGTCAGGAAGTTCTTCCTAACAGAATAAGCTGTCTTATTCCGAGTCAGATTAAAAGTCCATCTAACCCTGTATTGTCTGCACTGATTGGCAGCAGTGCTCCAGGGTTTCAGACAAGACATTCCCAGTGCTACCGGAAGATGAACCTGCAACCTTCTGCATGCAAAGCAGATGTTCTGTCCCTGGGCAATGGCCCTTCTAGGTTACAGCACACATCACTCAAGTAACCCCCGCGCCAATCCCAAAAAACCCTCAGGTGCCATTGTGAACAGGTATGTGTCAATCTGAATGTTTCCTGTTGTTTATTACTGTAGCTCAAGCCCTGCTCTAACCACTATACAACGCTGCCTCTTAACCCACCTCCCCCATGCAAGTGCCATGTATCCTTCCAGCGCCACCTGTCTCCCAACAGCCCCCTCTCCCCACCACCACACGCGTACCTGTGTGAGGCCCCAGGAGGAGGTGGCCGGTCTCCGCGTGGTTCTGCCGCAGCTCCTCTTCGACTGGTAGGGTCAGGATGCTCCAGCCCATGGGAGGGTCGTTGTCAGAGATGGCCATGAGTGCGCGGAAGAGCGAGGGCACCGGGGACATCAGGTTGTGCATGGAGCTCCGCAGGGCAGGGCGGGGGGCCGAGGAGGGGCGTTCGTCACACAGCCCTTGCGGAGAGGAGAGATCAAGTCGGAATTCCTCATGGACCACAGTTCAGCCACTGGGAAGAAGCGGGCAGTGTCCTGGATCTGGTAACCCTCCTCCCAGCCATATTTTCGCAGTTTAGGGGATGGGGCCCAAGCTCAGTGGTAGAACACCTTTTGCATGCAGTACCAAGAGGACTCCAGCTTCCTCAAAGGCCTCACAGTTTCCCCCCAGAAAAAATAAAAAAAAATGTGTGGAATATTCAAACTATATCAAACTGTTCTTTTCATTTTTTCCAGAAAAAAACGGCTTTGGAAACCCCCCTTATTTCCGTTTTTTCCCCCAGAGCTTCCCATCTCTACTTTGGCCCCCACTTTTTCCCCCACCCTGCAATGTGACGGGTGTTTAGCACCCCCTGGAATTCACTCACCCACACATTCACAGCACGACTCCCAGAGATTGCCCAAGCAGAAAGCACATTCCCGACAGCATGGGCACCCAGCTCGGTTGGCCTCGCACTGGCACACTTCCTGCCAAGAGATACCAAGTGGGGGTGTTAACAGTGACCTCCCCCCCTACGGTTCCCTTTGTAAAATGATCACACCAGCGCATATACAAATCTGCCCCTGTTTTGCCCCCAAAGTGAGGATGGCCAATTCGACAAATACAGCCCCATTACAGAGAAGGCCCTCTGCCTGGTTCCCTGTAAACTCACTTCTTGCAGTGAGGGAACTGCCAGAAGGCCCTCAGTGCTGGATCTCAGTGTCAGGGCTGGGCAATGGGGGTGGAGACGCTCCTTCAGGTATATTGGGTCTTTGAGGCCGTTTAGGTGTTTCAAGGTCAGCACCAACACTTTGAATTGTGCTCGGAAACGCACTGGGAGCCAATGTAGGTCTTTCAGGACCAGTGTTACAAACTGACTTCAAATTAAATAGTTACATTTTTCATATATTGACTTCCCACCCACACCACATTGTTTTTGTTCATACCCATTTCTACTACATTCTATATCAATATTTTATCTATTACAGAAATCCCTCTAATGCAATCACTTTATCCTTTCTTCTCAAATCCTGCCCACAATTTCATTTTATAGTGCTTTTTCAAATAGTCCAAAAAAGTCCCCCATTCTTCCAAAATGTGTGCGTGTTGAGAAATAATTGTTTTAAAAATAATTTTAATTAAGTTTTCATATTTAATTACATCTCATTACACAGATCCCGTGTTGAGAAATATTTAAATACTTAGCAGATCCTGTGAACTCAGGTTTACCCTCCCAGAGGAGGAGGCTGCCCACTGCGTCTCTGCCTGATGCCCTGGCCTCGACTCTGTCCAGTCAGCCCCCTGCCATGAATGCGCTGTTCTCCCCTGATTGCTGCATCAGCTGTGACTGGGTAGTTCAGCCTGCCCAAATGACGAGGTTGCCTTGCTGTGCTTCTGTGTGAGTGACCGTTCTGGACTGCCAATCCAAAGGAAGCCCATGGTAGCGGCTCATGCAGATACACAGAGGGTTGTTCGCCACCAAGAAGGAGTACTAACCACATTTTGTGTGAGAGCACTGGTTAGTGCTGTGACTGAGCCTCTCATTCAAGGGGGAGAAGGGGTCTCAGGAGCAGTGCTGGATTTACGTATAAGCTAAACAAGCTATAGCTTAGGGCTATATTTCTTGGGGCCCCAAAAAAAACTAAAAGAAAAAAAACTGGATGCACATTTCCAAAATATAAGGTAAAAAAAATACAGTGGACACTTGGATTGCGAACGTGATCTGTGTGGGAGGCATGTTCGCAACCCACAGCGCCGCGTCTGCGCATGCGGGGGGGTTGTGATTCAGTGCTTCTGTGCATGCGCTAAAACCCGGAACTAACCCGTTCCGGTACTTCCGGGTTCGGCATGGTGTGCAACCCGAAAACACGCAACCTGAAGTGTCTGTAACCCGAGGTATGACTGTGAAACAAAACCTACATACAGCAACAGTGTTTTGTGTTGTGTAGGCTCCTATGTTATAGTTAAAGCCATGGTTTTCCCAGTAGTGATGTATGGAAGTGAGAGCTGGACCATAAAGAAGGCTGATCGCCAAAGAATTGATGCTTTTGAATTATGGTGCTGGAGGAGACTCTTGAGAGTCCCATGGACTGCAAGAAGATCAAACGCATTGGTCCCCCCATTCTTAAGGAAATCAGCCCTGAGTGCTCACTGGAAGGACAGATCCTGAAGCTGAGGCTCCAGTACTTTGGCCACCTCATGAGAAGAGAAGACTCCCTGGAGAAGACACTGATGCTGGGAAAGATGGAGGGCCCAAGGAGAAGGGGGCGACAGAGGACGAGATGGTTGGATAGTGTTTTCAAGGTTACCAGCATGAGTTTGACCAAACTGCAGGAGGTAGTGGAGGACAGAGGTAGTGGAGGACAGAGGTGCCTGGCGTGCTCTGGTCCATGGGGTCACGAAGAGTCGGACACGACTAAACGACTAAACAACAACAACAACAAAGGCTCCTATGATGTAAGTCGTGGGCCCCACCTGCTCGCCTGCTCCCTAAAATATCACTGGTTTGCTCATTTCTATATATAGGGTGCCCACATTCTGCACAGACTGGTTGCATGGCAACATGGGCAAATGGCTTTAGAAACCTATTAGGCCCATAAATTACCATATAGCATATATTTAACACACACAAAAACAGTGACAATTTGTTGTTGCCAAAGGACAGCTGGACATATAAAGGGCCCCAGTACCTTCAGTAGCTGAGGGCCTCATCAAACCTAAATCCGGCCCTGCTCAGGAGCTTGGAAAATACCCATCCCAAATCCAAGTCTGCAGGTCTGCAACAAGATCTGATGCAAGGCAGCGCTTTCCCAACCTCTTACCTGCAGTAAGCACTTGCTGACGTCGCTGGCGCAGAGGGCCTTATTGCACCCATCAGCACAGGAGACCACAGCCCATGTGGCTGCCACCAAAAGGAAGGCCACACCGTGGGGCATTGCTACAATGTGGGGCGGTGGGGGGTGGGGAGACAGACCTGGAAGAAAGTGGAAGATATATGGTTACCTATGGGGAGAGGAACATTGATCAGGTGACAAAAAATTGAGTAGCCCACAAAAACGTTTACAGTGGTACCTCGGGTTAAGTACTTAATTCATTCCGGAGGTCTGTACTTAACCTGAAACTGTTCTTAACCTGAAGCACTACTTTAGCTAATGGGGCCTCCTGCTGCTGCCGTGCCGCCACAGCATGATTTCTGTTCTCATCCTGAAGCAAAGTTCTTAACCCGAGGTAATATTTCTAGGTTAGCGGAGTCTGTAACCTGAAGGGTATGTAACCAGAAGCTTATGTAACCCGAGGTACCACTGTATTACGAATTTAGTTCCTGCAGCTGCAAAGTGGTTAAATTAACATTTTCCCCTTTCCTCAGTTATACTTCCCATCTAGATCTACTCTAACCGACGAAGGGATTGGTTGATCTCTTCAGCCCCCCAACTTTTCAATACAGATTACTATGCTGGGGGAGGGGGTCTCTTCTCTCCACTATAGGGACATTGGGGGAGAGAAGCAGCTAATCTGGGTTAAACTAGTTACAGGTAGGTAGCCGTGTTGGCCTGCCGTAGTCGAAACAAAACAAAATCAATAAAACCAATAAAATAAAATTTAAAAAATCCTTCCAGTAGCACCCTAGAGACCAACTAAATTAGTTATTGGTATGAGCTTTCATACGAATTAAACTAGTACTAGTACATTTCATCCCAAGTTAAACTAGTACATTATAAAAGTATCTTGGGGATGGCATATCATGGGCTAAAGTAGCTAACACTCCCCCCCCCCTAAGTAAATCCTAAATAAAACTGAGTAGTAACAGGAGGAATGACAAAGATGCCGGACCGCTGCCCCCCCCTTCAAGGTATGGACGTAGCCCGCGGCCAAAGACTCTCTCTCGACCCCCTCCCCATATTCCCAGGCCTTTTTTTTGACGGCGTGGGGGGACATAGTGATGGCTAAGAGTTGGGGAAAGTGCTGGCCCCCTCCCGCATGCAACCAAGGCGAGGCGAAGAAGAAGAAAACTTAGTTAAGTGTCGATCGGCTTACCCGGAGAGGGGGGTGAAGTCTGCGATCGGTGTAGGGCTTTTATTTTTTTGGAGGGGGTCCGGACCACAGTCGCCCCCCTCTCTCAGTCTCTGCCTGGTAGGAAAAGGAGGAGGGATCTGGAAGAAGGGAGGGCTGAGAGGGGTTGGGAGAAGGGGAGATGGAGGAGGGAAGGGATAGAAGGAGGGAGGGAGGGAGGGAGAGCGAGAGAAAGAGAGAGAGAGAGAGAGAGAGAGAGAGAGAGAGAGAAAGAAAGAAAGAAAGAAACTAATTTAATATGTTGAATAGAAAATACGTAAGGTGTTAGTTAGCTGTAATGCTAGGAGATAAGGATTTGCTAGACAAATAATTTGGACTAGAAAACAAGAAGGGGAGGTACGAGGAAGTCAGGGAAATATGTTATTGAAAATAAGTTGTGAAATGTATGTGTTTTTAATATTTTTTCTTTTTTCTTTTTGTTTGTATAAAATGGAAAACTTCAATAAAAATTTTATAAAAGAAAGAAAGAAAGAAGTAGTAACAGAAAGAAAAGAAAGAAAGAAAAGAAAAGAAAGAAAGAACAGAAAGAAAGAAGTAGTAACAGAAAGAAAGAAAGAAAGAAAGAAAGAGGGTGGAGGAGACAGCCAGCCATTGATTTCGGCTTGCACCCAACTCTTCCAACTCTCTCGCCCCTCCACACGACGTGTTCTCAGCCTTTGTGTAGGGTTTGCTCCTGAGCCATTTCTTCTCCCACAGATATCCCACAAGGCAGCAGAGGTTTAGGATCAGGGTTTTCCTTCTCTAAGGTGGGCTCCTTTCCCAGGTTGACGAGCCCCATCTGCCCCTCACTTCCCTCTGCAGCATTTTGCAGAAACTGCATTATTGACCATTGGACTATTGGTCTTTCCTCCTCGATCTGCCAGAGCCTGTATTTGCACGTGGAGGAAGTCCCTAACTCACTGAGGGTTTGACACCCATCAACTACCCTCTCCTGGCTTAGCCTGCCCCTAGAAGCCATTCCTGGGGTGCGGCCACTGTCGCATGCGGGCAGCTTCCAGGAGCCAGAGGTGAAAGCTGAGTGCAGGATGGAGACCAAAGCTGGACAAACTACCCCAGAAGCATGATGTGTCCCTCCCCCAGAGGTACTACCCCTCCCCTAACACCCCATATACCATGCTCTGAATACCCGCTGCTGGGAATTGCAAGTGAGGAGAATACTCTTGTGCCCAGATCCTGCTTACAGGCTTCCCACAGGAATCTGGTTGCCACCGTGAGAATAAGATGCTGGACAAAAGAGGCTACTGCCCTGGTCCAGAAGGCTTGTCTTAGACCCTTAAAGGTAAAGGGACCTCTGACCATTAGGTCCAGTCGTGGCCGACTCTGGGATTGTGGTGCTCATCTCGCTTTATTGGCCGAGGGAGCCGGCGTACAGCTTCTGGGTCATGTGGCCAGCATGACTAAGCCACTTCTGGCGAACCAGAGCAGCGCACAGAAACGCCGTTTACCTTCCTGCCGGAGCGGTACCTATTTATCTACTTGCACTTTGACGTGCTTTCAAACTGCTAGGTTGGCAGGAGCAGGGACCGAGCAATGGGAGCTCATCCCGTTGCGGGGATTCGAACCGCCGACCTTCTGATCGGCAAGGCCTAGGCTCTGTGGTTTAACCCACAGCGCCACCCGCGCCCCCCTTAGATCTTTAGAGGTATGCAAATATAACGTGAGTCCGAGACTTTTCAGTCTTTTTCACTGTTTTATTTCTTTGGTTTTTCAGTCCAATTGCTTGTTTTGGTCAGTTACAAACATTAATGTAAACTTTGGTTCACTGGTGCCATTTCATTGTCACATTATGGAACACACCTAAAGCATATATCACTGATCCAATCTCTGCCCAAGCCTAGCATCTTCCCTCTGTGGTCCAGACAAATAGTCCATTTGCCCCAATATCTTCTGCCTGGGTTGGACTAGGGAGCAGATGGCCCCAGTAATTAGAGGTGATTTTAGGTAGCTGGCTTTCCCCTATCGTTACACTATGGTGGAAAAAATGATGCCAAATCAATGTATATTTTGGAAAATGGATTGTTTGTTTTCTATTGGTTCAGATACCGCTCGAGACATTATCACCAAACTTGTCATGAAGGCTCCAGCAGCCTTCATCGATATTTGGATGCCAGTCACCACTTCAAATCAAGATAGTGAAGTAGAACATGACTTTGGTGTGACTTTGCCTGATTTTTGGTGTGATGGGCCCAAACTCACAAGTTGCACTAGCTATTTGAAAGTCACAATATTTTTGGGTTTCTACAATCCCCAAGCAGTGCCAGGCACTACTCATTAGTATGATATAAAGAGACTATCTATTGTTTCTTCCCATTAATAATTGGAGGTCTGCCTTTTCCCTTAAACACCAGCCAGATCACTGCAATTTTTTAGAGAAGACCACCTGCCTGACCTGTGCCACATGTTCATTTAGCTTCTACTTGAACCAAGAGCAGTAGTACATCATAAGGACTGGATTAGGCCAAGGCTTTCAGTGCAATGGCACTGATATTTTAGAGCATTGCTCCTATAGCAATTAGACAGGCACCTACAATTCTGATGTTCTCTCAATACTGAAAACATTTGTTTTGTCAAACATTTTCAGAGACTTGATTCCCCTAATTGTTGGTCTTTTGGTTTTGTGTTTTATGATGCTTTCATGTTTTATTGTAGTTTTTTGTTGTGCATTCTTGTTGTACACAGCTGCACTACTTTGCTCATGAGAGGACAGTTTGAACTGCTAGTATGCACCTAGAATGCACCTAGAACAATGACCGAGTCACGCAGAGAATGGATTATTTTCGCACAGATTAAAATAAATATTTTCAGGTGCAAGAGTGAAGAATGCTTTCAATTGTAAGGGAATAAATTCATCAGAACTTTGAGAAGCACTATTACGGAGTCTTCAGTTGTTAGGGGTCTTGTGGGTCATGGAAATTTAGAACTTTCACCCATTTTTTCATTAAGGCTTGTGCATTTCAACCAAAGCATGGGTGGTACCAGGGACACCACTGTAAACTACCCTGGACACCATTTTGGGTAGTGCTGCTTCTACACAAGATTTTTTTTTTGCAACATGAAGATAATGAATTTGGCGCAAGTGTTCATTACCACCCCACCCCCTGCCTGAATACACAGATCAGGCAGCTACTCTCTGCTTGATCAGTGAAGTGATCTCACAACGACATAATGAAACATGCGCAAGGAACCAGTTCAGAACACACGCGTTGAGAGAACAGCAATACAATTACATGTAAACATTCATACATTCCACATTTCCCATCTATTCATGCAGGGAGATGCGGGTGGAATTAGCAGGTGTGAACAAGTCCTCAGGATGAAAACTCATTGTTCTTAGTGCCACCCAGAATCTAGTGACAGACGCTGAGGAGATCCATCTCTCAGTGACGGTATATAGCAGTGGATCTTGTCCATCTTTTGTTTCACCAGAGTTCAGTCTTCTTCACCTCACCCCTAGGCCGGAATTTCTTCCTTCTCTCCTTCTATTTACGGTAGCTTACTCTTGCTCACTCTCATGTAAAGGCACCAGTGACACCCCAACAAAGGAAAGGGATCTCTTGACTTGATGATCCTCAAGATGCACATATGTTGCTTAGCAACATACAAGTTACATGGGGTGGGGATGGTACTTTGAAGGCTAGCCACTTTATGCACATTTTGTTCAGTCTCAGAGAGCCCCCAGCAGAACAATGTTAGATTACTGGGTGGGAGTCTTGAGTTCAAATCCTAGCTTACAACAGATTCAAGTCACTCTCTTAGGACCTCCTGTTCCCTAACTGTAAAATGAGAACAAAGGGCTGATTTGCCTGACCGTTTCTCAATATTCTCACTCACTATTTGCTTGGTGAAATAGATTGGTGAAAGCACACACAGCTAGATAGCAAGTTAGTATATTGTGGAAAACAGGGTATGTGGTGAACGTTACTGCCCTACTTCAGAGACTGATTTTTGGATTTATCACTCAGGTAGAAACTCCATAGCAGGCTTTGGCCTGCAGAATATCATGCTAGGGAGCCTGGGAGCAAACCCAAACCATCTACCTCAAACCTTTGCATACATCTGCTATATGTATATATATATCGGAAAGTTTGCTATGCATTCGGATGCTTCTTAAGAAAAAGTAACTGAAATTTGCATAATGGCTCTTGAGATCAGGAAGCAGGTTTCTGTCTATATTTTGATACAGTGGGATGCCATTTTGAATCCAGATGGCGAATGGAACCTTTCAAGAATGTGCTGAATTTTACCGCATTTTGCATGATTGTTCCTGAGATCAATGAGCCGTTTTTGGCCTGTGTTTTGATACCATTGGGTGCCATTTTGAATCAAGATGGCGGACTTTCAAAATTGATTTTAAGCACTGATTGCACAATTGCACTGATCTTTTGGGTTTCTTTGAATTCCCAAGCATTGCATGAGGCCTCTAGCATATTGATAGTTGCCACCCACCGTATTCTTAGGGCTCAGTGCAAGTATCCCACAGCACCCCGCCCTAACAGAGACATTTGGCAAGTCCCCTCCTTCTGTTCTGTTCTGTCCTTTGGTTCCTGCCCTTCCTCCTATCTTACTGGGATGGCTCTATGTTCCCTTAGAGGAAGTGTATCCACCCTGTCTCACAGCAATCGGCAGTGGGGCTGGGGGGCTCCTCCTCCTCATCCACACAGGGTGGAGGCCTCAGGCAATAGTTGCGGCCTTGGTTGTTGTCCCAGAACTCTTCTGCCCCCACAAGGTAGCAAATGGCAAACTCTAGGACAACCCCAGGGACCAGCGGGGTGAGCAGCGGGAGGCGGAAGGCAAAGCGGTCAGCGTGGTCCCGATCCCGGCCTGCAGGAGCGGCGTAGGATGCCCGGACTTCGTGTTGCGTAGCCCAAGAATCCCAGGTGTATCGCACGGAGACCCGCTTTTCGTAGGCTAAGTTGAGGACCCGGATGGTGCCGGATACACAGGAGCCTTCGGCCCGGGCCCCTTCGAGGAGAACGCACTGCGCCAGGAGGCGCGGTAAGAAATCTGGCATGGACAGGGGGTCTGGGAAGGTGGGCTCCAGCAGGTATCGAAGACTCAAAGGATCCTGGAGAGACAAAAGGAAGAGGGGAGTGAGAATTCTGGAAGGGTCATGGCTCAGGGGCAGGTCACAGGTTGCTGGAGACAAAGTTGATATGTTTGATTAGAGAAAAACCATTGATGAAATTTATTATTGTTAATATAATCACAGAACCCCTTTTGGAGTTTTTGTGTAAAAAAGAAAATGAATTGGAGACATTTGGGGTGGAAGATTGGGAAAATATTGCCTAACGGAAAGAAGATCAGTTGGATGTCATGCTAGAGCAAATATTTTGACTAATTTCTTTTATGAAACTGGCAGATGGAAAATCAGAAGTCCTTTTAATTTCTTCTCTTTTATTTTGTTTCTTCTATTTTTTCTTTTCCTTTGGTTTTTTCCATTTTTTCCTCACCTTGTTTTTATTTAGATTAGTTTCTTTGATCATATTGCATTATGAAAAAGTTTTAATAAAATTTTATTTAAGAAGAAGGTCACAGGTTCAATTTTAGGAAATTTTTAAATGTTTGATGTTTTATTGTGTTTTTAATATTCTGTTGGGAGACACCCAGAGTGGCTGGGGAAACCCAGCCAGATGGGCGGGATATAAAAATAAATTATTATAATAATATTATTATTATTTCTTGGCATTTCCATGTTGGTCTAGGAAAGATCTGACACCTTGGCGAGCCACCACCACTCAGTGTTCACAAGATATAAGATGGACCAATCAGTCTGACTCAGTATAATAAGGCATCTCCATATGTTCCTAATTAGAAAATGGAGCACATGAAGGACTATTTGGGTGTTGGGGTGAAGCAGAGGGGATTAAGGGACAATAAAGACAGAATGACTGAAGAAATTTGTGGATGATGAAGAAAAATGAATAGGAAGGTATTAAAATAGAGGGTAGGGGGGAAATGGTGAGTGGGAACAAACCATGAGAATTTAGAAAGAAAAGACTAAATAAGACAGAAAGGGGAAACCAATACATTATACAGGATACGACTATATAAATTTAAACAAGTGAAAAGAAAACAGAAGGAATTCTAGAGAACGCAGGCAGAAAGAGACTAAAGGCTGGCAGGAAACAGTGTGTGCCCATGTGGTTAAGTGGTTTGAATGTGGGACTCGGACCTGGGAGACCCGGGTTCAAATCCTCACTAGGCCAGGAAGCTCCCAGGGTAGTGCTGGGTCAGTCTTTGTCTCTCATATTAATCTTCTTCACCCAGCCGTCATGAGGATAAAATGGGAAAGAGAAGTGCGTGCACCACCTTGAAGGAAAAATGGGATATAATAAGCATGTGACCCAGTAAATAAAGAGGAGAGGAGTTCTCGAATCAGGTCAGGAGGACCAAGGAGAAGGAAAGTCAATGAACGGGAGGTGAGGAAAAGGGGCAATAAAGATGAAAGCTAAAGATACTGGCTGGCCAGCAGATAAAGAACAGGAGGAAAACAAGAGAGTGAGATGGAGGAATAGGATGAGGGAGGGCTAAATATACACTATGGCCACATAGCACCATACATTGAAGACACTCTGATACCTCTTTAAACAATCATGGCTTCCCCCAAAGAATCCTGGGAACTGTAGTTTGTTAAGGGTGTTGAGAGTTGTTTGGCAGCCCCTATTCCCCTCATAGGGACGCGGGTGGCGCTGTGGGTAAAAGCCTCAGCACCTAGGGCTTGCCGATCGAAAGGTCGGCGGTTCGAATCCCCGCGGCGGGGTGCGCTCCCGTTGCTCGGTCCCAGCGCCTGCCAACCTAGCAGTTCGAAAGCACCCCTGCGTGCAAGTAGATAAATAGGGACCGCTTACCAAGCGGGAAGGTAAACGGCGTTTCCGTGTGCTGCGCTGGCTCGCCAGATGCAGCTTTGTCACGCTGGCCACGTGACCCGGAAGTGTCTGCGGACAGCGCTGGCCCCCGGCCTCTTGAGTGAAATGGGCGCACAACCCCAGAGTCTGGCAAGACTGGCCCGTACGGGCAGGGGTACCTTTACCTTTACCTTTATTCCCCTCATGGAGTTACAATTCCCCAGGAATGGTACCTCCCAGAATACTTTGGGGGAAGCGATGACTGTTTCAAGTGTTACCATAACGCTTTAAATGTATAGTGTGGATGTGGCCCTTCAAAGCATATTCTTTTCCCCTCAAAGGATTCTGGGCACTGTAGTCGACACCTCACAAGAGTTACAATTCCCAGCGACCCTTAACAAACTCCAGCGCCCAGAATTCTTTGAGGGGAAAAGAATGTGCTTTGAATGTGCCTTAAATGTACAAGTCACACAGGGAAAAGGAAAGAAGTCGGGGGGGAGATGAAGGGATGGGACAAGGCGAAGAAGAGAAGAGACTGGAGATCCAAGATGGCAGCGTGTGGAGAAGGGAAGGGCGGGAGGAGGATGAGATAGAAAGCGAGGAGGCAGGCAAGGTGGAAAGCAAGAGAGGCGTTGATGGATCCTGAGTGCCATTTGAGAGTCACTTTCTGGAAAGAGAAGAGAGACTTCTGGTCTCCGGATAACATTAAAAAAACCCTTTTCCCAGCACCACCAGCCCATCTATGTTAATTCCTTTGGCTGGAATGCAGTCGTTATGGAGTCATCCCTAATGCAGCCAGCAAAACTCTCACCAGCCCAAGCAAGCACAGCCACTTTGGACCACAACTCCCATCAACAGCGGCCAGCCACAGAGTTATGGTCCAAAAGGTCTGGAGGGCACCTGGTTGGCAAAGGCAAGACTGCCTTTATATAAAGGCCCTATGAACAGACTAGTGAGGGCTGGGTGCCCAAAAGAAGAAACTTTTTTCTTGTTGGCATGACTGCGTGGGCTCAGAAGAGGAGGAAGGGCCTTTCTTTAAACCTGAGGACTCTCTTTGGAGACGGAGGGATCCCCTCAGCCTGCCGAGGGTGAGGAGATCTTATATCCCCTCCCAGCTCCTTGCACAACCACCATCCTTGGAGATTTGGGGCCATCCCAAGAGATGCTCAATAATTCTCAGGGGGGAAAGCTGAAGGCGAACTGTGAAAGACTTTTAACTGTCCAAAGGTGGACAAAATCCTGAATGCCTCCGAAGCCTTGTAGGTTAGCTCCACCTGGAAACTGCAGAAAAAAAGCTTTCAAGGCATATTTTTGATTCATGCCTTTTGTATACAGTGGTACCTCGGGTTACATACACTTCAGGTTACATATGCTTCAGGTTACAGACTCCGCTAACCCAGAAATAGTGCTTCAGGTTAAGAACTTTGCTTCAGGATGAGAACAGAAATTGTGCTCCGGAGGCACAGCGGCAGCAGGAGGCCCCATTAGCTAAAGTGGTGCTTCAGGTTAAGTACAGTTTCAGGTTAAGAATGGACCTCCGGAACGAATTAAGTACTTAACCCGAGGTACCACTGTAGTCATAATAGACCTAAGGCCTCTTCAGGGATTACAAAGAGGGAAATGCAAATGCAAAGAGAGGGGCAATGCGGATTAGTATCCATACCCCATCGCTGTTTCTGCCTCCTAACTCTTTGATTGCCTGACTGAAAGAAGGAGACACCTGTATCTGTGGAGGCCTCTTGACACGTTTTAAGAACCTCCTGTTATGTCAGATTTGAAAATGCATGGGGAATCTCTGTGGATACAAAAGGATCTGTGCTTGAGAGCATTGCTTTGTAAAGTAGGAAGGCAGGCAGGGAGTGGAAATGATGGCGGAGAGGCTTGCATGTTCACAACACCCCTCTCTCAGCAACCATAGAATCGTAGAATTAGAAAGGACCCTATGGGTCATCTAGTCCAACCCCCTGCAATGCAAAAACCAATGCAGGAGTTCACTTTAACACTGAAAGAATATACTAGTCAGTTACCTTTTCTTCCCTATTTACAGGACTCCTGCAAAGACTCAGAGACGTGGATATAGATTACTACAGGTTAATGACATGTGACTTTATGGTAAGAAGCGAAGGCTGCAATCCCATGTACGCTTATCTCGGGACAAGGGTCACAGCTCAGGGCCATAGCATCTACTTCGCATGCGGGAGGTCCAAGTTCAATCCCAAGTGGCAACTCCTCAGGTAAGGATGGGAATGCCCTCGGCTTGAAACCCGGAGAGCCACTGCCAGCTAGGCCAGCCCGTGTGCTGCCTTCCCTAGTTGTTACAACTCCCATCAGCCCCAGGCAACAGGATCCAAACTTCTTGCAGCAAGTAAATACAGAACACTATTTATTTAGACCTAGCTGTCTGTTTTGAAGCTGATGTCTCACAGCCTCTGGATGGCACCAGCTTCCCCCCCCCATGGCCAAAAGCGGCATTGCACATGGGAATATGGGAAGCTGCTTTCTACTGAGTCAGACCTCTGGTCCACCTCACTTGGTATTGTCTGCACTGACCGGCAGCAGCAGCAGGGGACACTCCCACCTCACTTGGTATTGTCTGCACTGACCGGCAGCAGCAGCAGGGGACAATCTGGGAGATGCCAGGGTTTGAACCTAGGACCTTGTGCATGCAACACAGATGTTCTACCTCTGGGCTATAGCCCTTATCTGAAAAAGCTACATCTTCCCTTGCTAGTTGACACAATATGATGCATTTTGGACCAGTGCAACGCTGTTTATCTGGCCCTTTAAAGCCCTTGTGGGGGATAAAGAGTAAGAACGATTATTCTCTATGGAATTAATGCTTCCTTTGCCCTCAGAAAGGAGATCCCGAAGGGAAATCTATAATTGATTTCCTTCCTTCCCACCTTTCTGCCACTTCCCATTCTGCCCCAAGATTCATCCCACCACTAGGCTGGCTACCCCCCCCCCCCCGTTACCTTCACAGGCGGGCAAAAAGGCAGGCACGGGGCAAAGTGGCTGAGTGAGTCGCGCCTCAGCTGGGCATGGACACGCTCCGGCACCTCTGGGAGGTCGTTGGGCCAGAACTGGCGGACGCTGGTGAGCTCCAGGCCCAGGGAGTCGGCGAAGCGAACCCTCTTGCGTGTCCCGGGGCTGCGGCTGCGCGAGGCCCCCCGACTTCTGCCCCGGGCAGGGGCCGAGCGAGTCCGGCGCCTTCCTTTCCGCTTGTGCCCTCCAAAGACGTGGCGTCGCCTCCGGGGCCTGCTCCGGGGCCTGCTCTCCGACTCGGATTCGGAGCCCTCGGTCCCCGAGTCCTCTGCTATGCTCGGCCGGGCGGTGCGGTAGTAGGCTCGCTCGTACAGGCCTGCGATGTAGCTCAGGTTCCGCGGGATGTTGCTAGGGGTCAGAGGTGACGGTGGGGCACGAGCCATGGGGGCAAAGCTGCAGACCCCAAGGCTTGGCTCTTCTATGCAGCTCAGGCCCAGGAATCACCTTTCGGGAGTGTGTGGTGGCAACCCAGTTCTTCACGCCCTTTGCTGGACCTTCCTCCACTGTTGCTCCGTTTGGGACAGACTGCCTTATTGCACGTTTGGGAGGAAAGATGTTCCTTTGCAGCTCTGTTGTCCACCGCTCTGCCTCTCAGTCTTCTTCAGCGCTCTGGTTCTCCCTCAGCATGTTACCTCCTCTGATTTCTCCTGCTAGAGTCTCTTTGCCATGCTTCCGGTTGTCTGCAGGGCTCTCAGTCTGTCTGTGGGTCACTTCTTCATTTATTACCACTCCATCATCTTCTGCTCTCCCTCCCTCCCTCCATCTGGTCTGGTGTTTTCGCTCTGCCTTTCCATTTTTCAGTGTATTCCGCTGTTCTTCTTTCTGAAGACTTTCTCTCTCTCTCTCTCTCTCTCTCTCGTTCTACCTCATTCTTTTGCTTTGTCACTGTTCCTTTTGGAGATGCTCTGTGTTTTATTATTCCATCCGTGCTCTGTATCTTTCTGTTGATTCAACTGTGTGACTTTGCCTTCTCCTTCCCAAGGACACCGTCACGAGGAGTCAAGTCGGTCAGGTCGTCTGTCTGCTCTCTCCTGTCTCTTTTCACTCTACTTGATCTCTGATACTCTCTGTGTATATTTAAATTTTATATGTGTCTGTATCAAGGTATCTTTCCCTCGCTGCTGCTTCTTCCTTCTTCTATCTCTCCATTGCTTCACGTCCACGCTGTCCCACTCCAGAGATTCCCAGACTCTCTCTCTCTCTGGAAGAAGAAATATTTTTGCTTCCTGGAGAGTTTTCAGTCTCTCTAGCTTTTTATTCAGTGTGGTCCAGCTAAAGGTGACTCAGAGATTACCATAATCCTCAGAGCTGCAGCTCCTTGAAAACCGCCTGCCCATCCAGAATCTGAAGGGCCAGTACTCCAGAGAAGATTTCTCCAAGGAATGCAAGCAGGCACAACTCACTCAGTCAAGAATGGGAGGCTTGGGCTGGTGGGAAGGAGAAGATCTTTGCTTCCAGACCCGAAAAGGTTTTATTACTGCTAGGAAAAGGGCTCCCTCTCCCTCACACCTTGCCCCTCTAGGTTCCAGAGACAAGATGTACCTTTAAAAAAGTATACGTGCCCAGAAATGTTTCTTTGGGAGATGAATTATTCAGAAGAGAAAATGGAACTAATGGATTATGCAAGAGCAAGAAAGCCCCACAAAGATCAGGAAAAAGGGGGGTGGGATTCAAAATTGGGGGCAGATTTGGCAGTCGGAGCTCAGATATGGGAAATGTGTGTGTTTGGGTGGGGTGGGGGGCTTCAAGCTGGCAACAAGGGACACCAGTAAAACTGGGGAGGCTGTTTTGGGCGGCAGAAATGAAGCTGTTAACTGAGGCGGAGCTGCTCCTTTGGCTTCATGCCGCGTTAACCAGGTGCCTGAGAGCGTCTCTGTACATGAAACTGCAGGCATCCGGTCATGAATAATGGAGCAAGCCTAAAGCTTTCTGTCCTCCTCTCCTTAACATCCCCTCCTGCCTCCGCTCACCACAAAGCACAAAAGGGGTTACATGATGTTTACTGTACTACTTTTATTGCGAAAGAAGGAGCCTCTTCTCTCCCCTTCCCTAAATTGATAGAATCACACCTTTCCTTTCCACTGACAGCCACCTCAGATCAGCTTCAGAAAACAGGCAACCACATCACGCCACCTCCCTGAATCTAATGAAGGTACAGAAATGGTTATGGACAGCTCTACAAATACGTAGCCTTTTCTCTCTCTCGGGAGCAGGGTGAGTTCAATGACATCCTCCTCATCTTATTTTTATCGCAGCTGCTCTGTCCCTCTGCTCAACCTGCCTCATTTCTCAAGGTCATAGGAAATTGAGCTTGGTTTGTCTCGGGCCCGAACGCTAATGCAATCCTTGCAGACACACGCAAACAGCCAATGTTTGTTTTGCACCTAAAACACTTAAAACAATCCATCTGTCTCTTATGCCTATGAAGTCTGGCTTTTTACACTGTGCACCATTTCTCTGGGACAGCCTTTGCTCACTAGGCAAAGGAGTTGCAGTGGATTACAACTCCCATCAGACTGTGCCAATATGGCTGTATCGGCAGGTGTTGATGGGAGTTGTAATCCAACAATATCTGGTGGGCGTCTGGTGGCCGAAGGCCGACATATACCTTTGCAAGGTCCTAGGAAATGACCGGCCACACATTTCCGTGTTGTGCCTTTTTCACTTGCCTTTATCACTTGCCGAAAGGTGTTTCATTACCAGTTACCTCTCCACAGCTGGAGACTGGCCCACAGGTCCACTGACAGACAATTCAGTGTCTTTGGGGATTAATTCCGAGCGACGGGATCCATTAAGCAGTAGTCTCAAAGAACCAAGGAGCAGGTGAATGTCGTGGTTAAAGAAATATTTAAAAAACACAACAGAAATGCAGCCCCAACCCCAAAGTCCACCATGATCTGCTGACTTCCAGTTCCAATTAGAATGAGCGCCAGGAGTGGTGAGAGCACAGAAAAAGAAAAAAATAATGTGAAAATGTCAACAAAGAAAGAAGCATTCATGGCACACTGTGAACCCGGTGTCACTTTGCGAGAATCACAAGAACAGCATTGGGCTCACAGGGCGGCATGAGCGAGGACGCACAACGTCCTGTCCCCCCAAACTGTATCCAGAGTGATGACCCCCCCCAGCCCCCCTGCTACGCCTCTGGTCTGACATTTGCCACAACATCCTTGAGCTGCATGCATCTACATGGTGTTTTTTATCCAGTTGGCTGGTTGTAAGTCACTGTGCGTTGCTCTGGGCAAGATAAAGCGACTAACAACTTCAACAAATAACAATAATCATCTGTCTCCTCATTTTCAGATGGACTAGAATTCTGAGCTTCTTCTGGTGGTTGAACAGACTGGCAAGTAGACAGCAGACAAGAGAGACGCTTGTTATTCAGCAGATGAACTTAATGTCTCTTGCTTATAAATAAGAGATTTCCCCGTACTTGTAAATTTGGAAACATCCCTATGCATGTTTACTCAGAAGAAAATCCCACTTTAATTTTAAAATCTCATTTTGATGCAATATACTCCCAAGTAATTCTGCAAAGTGTTGCCAGCTCAGCAATCCTCTAAAGATAGGAAGCCGCCTTATGGCCTATATAGTCCAAAAGTGAGAGACAGCAAGTCTCTAGAGTTTAAGGCAAAGAGTCTTTCCCTTCACCTGGAATCCTTTCAGCCAGACACGACTTTCTGCCCGCAAAGCAGAAAACCTCTCCTGCCTGCCTCGTTTTGCTGCAAGTAACACTAGCAGTCTGCTTAGAATTTAAATATCTGATTGACCCAAAATTTGAAAGAGCCCATCAGAAAAATAATCCAGACAAGATGGTTTGCTAGCAGAGACGCAGAAAAGGGTGGCTGTAGCCTGCTCACCCTGATAATGGAGTTTTGCCTTCAGCTGCCATGACCAAAAAGCTGCTGATAGGCCTCTACACCTTGCTCAATTTGTCTAACCTCCCTTTAAATCTGCCTTAGTCAAGCGCCACCCCAACATCTTGTGGCATCAAAACGCTGACAGCATTAAGATAAATTCAACAATGTAAATAATTTTTGATGGATTCAATAATGGAATACTGAATGGTATAGTTTTTGTAAAATATGCAGGGATTTATGATATGTAAAATGAACCATGGAAAGAGAAGAATGGAAGTCATTTAAGGATGTAAAATGAGTATTTTGAAGGAAATAACAGTCCGACTGCAGCAGCCTTGGGAAACAGGGCCTTTTCAGTGGTGGCTCCAGTCTCCTGCAATTCCTTTCTGAGAGAAATACAACAGGCTTCATTAGTTCCAAGTTTTGAAGAAAGTTTTCCCTGGCTTTTAATTTAAAGGTTTTAGTGTATATTCTACTTGTGGAGTTTTCGATAGTGAAATGATTTTTTATTTATTTAAAACTGTTTTATCCTACATTTGATTGTATGTTTTCATATTACTGCTACTATCGATAACATTGTATATAACGCAGGTCCCCCCTGGGAAGGCTTGTAGGAAGCACGGAAGGCCGTTAAACGGCTTTTCCAGTAGCTACAGAGACGTTGGCGCCATTAGCCAATCAGAAACTGCAGCTTCAAAGCGGCGGCCTGGACCAAAGCGGCGTTCTACCACTTACAGTAGAACCTGAGGAATCCCTCCTTGGCCAATAGGAGAGCTACTCTAGATATGACTGGCACAACTCTATCCAATGGTTTCAGACCCAATGAAAATACGAATGTATGTAATAGACAGGCATCTCACCCAATAATCACGTGAGGCGGGTCGAAAATGAAAAAGCAATCGTTATTTCTCTGTTGCTAACCAATAATGTACTACGGTCCGATTGATGGAAGCATAGCGCTAGCCGCGGAGAAGGCGGACTATGATAGTTTGCCTGCCCCAATGAGAACACTCCGATTTGGCCCTTCAGCGCTCTGATAAATCATTTCCCTGTACGTTTTGATTGGCGTGCTTGCTCTCCAATTCAGCTTCGCGACGGGGGCAAATCGGGCAGGCGGGCGGGAAACTTCGCGAAGCCACCCAATCATACAGAAACGCGGCTAAGGCGGGCGCAAGACGCTCCCGGACCAATCGCCAATCCACATTGCAAAAGTCGGGGGGAAACCCCACCAACCCTTTCCCAGCTCCGATCCAATCGCCGATCGAAACCTTTCGAGCGGCGGCGTTCCCGAGCCAATGCCTGCAGAGCCTGCGTTCGCGAGACGGCGGGCTGCCCCGCGGACCAATGGCAGGAGGGCGCCTGGCCTCTGGGCGAGCCAATGAGCGCGTCGGCGGGCGGTCAGCCAATCAGAGCGCGTCGGCGGGCGGCTAGTGCGGCAGGCGGCTGCGGCGGGGTCTATGGCGTCCGTGCGGGGCCCGAGCAGCGTCGGCGGCGGGCGAGGGGCCGCGGCGGCCTTGGGGGGCGAAGGGGAGCCCGGCGGGGGGCTGGTTGGGGGCCCGCCTTCCTCCCAGTACGGGAACGGGCTGGGGGGGAGCGGCCCCGGGGGGGAGCAGGGCGGGGGGCTCCGCGAGTTGGAGGAGGAGGAGGAGGAGGGGCTGCTCCTCGAGGCCGCGACGGGCGGAGGGGCCGCGGGCGGCGGCGGGATCCGAGGCTCCGGCCCGCGGGGCGCCCTTTCCTCCTCCTCCTCTTCCTCCCACGCGCCCTCCAGGGCCGGCCAGGCGGGAGTGGGGGGGCCCCACCACCACCCTCACTCCGAAGAGCTGGAGGAGGAGGCCGGCCTGGGAGAGAGCGACCCCGGAGACTCCGCCATCGAAGACCCGGTGAGTGGCCCCCGGGGGCGCGGAGGAGAGAGCGAAGGGCCCGAATTGCTCTCCCGCGTGATCTTTGCCCCCCCCCCACCCGTCTCTTTTTCAGCGTAGCCTACCTCGCAGGAGTGTCGCGAGGCGTTGCTTATTTATTTGCCGCATTTCTATTCAGCCTTTCTCTCCCCGAGGAGCTCAAGGTGGCGCACGTGGCTCTCCCCAACCCCATCTGATCCTCGCAGCCACCCTGTGAGGTAGGGTAGGATTGGAGAGGGGTTGACTGGCCCGAGGTCGCCCAGTGAGCTTCGTGGCAGAGTGGGAATTCAAACCCTTGTCTCCCAGATCACATAGTTCGACCTTAGTTCTAACCATTGCACCGCACTGGCTTAAGAGAAAGAGAGTGGTGGTGGTTGAGGAGGTAACGTGTGTGTGTGGAATAATAGAATTGCGGTGTTGAAAAGAACCACGAGGGTCATCTTGTCCAGGGGTCAGCAAACTTTTTCAGCAGGGGGCCGGTCCACTGTTCCTCAGGCCTTGTGGGGAGCTGGGCTATATTTTGAAAAAAATAATGAACGAATTCCTATTTCCCCACAAATAACCCAGAGATGCATTTTAAATAAAAGCACACATTCTACTCATGTAAAAACACCTGGCAGGCCCCACAAATAACCCTGAGACGCATTTTAAATAAAAGCACACATTTTGCTCATGTAAAAACATGCTGATTCCCGGACCATCTGCGGGCCGGATTTAGAAGGCGATTGGGCTGGATCTGGTCCCCGGGCCTTAGTTTGTCTACCCATGATATAGTCCAACCTGCTCCAGTGCAGGAATCATTAGCGCAATGTGGGGCTCAAACCCACAACTGTAAGATTGAGACTCTTACTTTTTGTATACTGGGAACAGTTGCAAAGAAATGATTATTCAGAAATTGCATATGCGGCACACTTGGCTGCTTATTTTGTGTTTATATCCCACCTTTTTCTCCAAGGAACTGAAGTGGGTGTATGTGCTTCTCCCACCCCCCCAAAAAACCCCTATAGTTCTCACAACAACCCCATGAGGTAGGATTAGGCTGAGAGGCAGTGAAGGGACCCAAGGTCATGCACTGAGTGAGGGATTCAAACCCTGGTCCCTCTCTGGTCCTGGCTCACTGCTTCCTAAGGAGAGAGCGTGGCTTTGGGGAGGGGGTTCTTCTCTAATGGGGGATGGTGGACAAAAAAGGTACATTCAAAACTATTAATATGGGATGCTCAGTGATAGTGCAGAAGCAGTTTTAATTTGTACATGCTGACTTGGGCAGATGAGAAGTTCATTATAGTGTAAAAATGGAGTCTGGGATTGCCGTGTGGCAATTGGATGCAGATTATACCTTTGACACTGATTTGTAGAAGCAAAAAGTGGGCAGAGCTAAGTGGGCAGAGCTAAGACCCTGCGTAGTGGGTGGCGACAGTTAAGATTGGAAAGAGCAGAGGCAGAGTGGGAAAACAGCTAAAACCGTGGGAAAGACAGCTCTTTCAGGGAGAGATCAGATGAAGCAAATGCCGGCAGAGCTGTCTTGGCATAAACAAGTGGATGGGAGTAGATAACTGTAGAATGTCTTACAGCAGTAACCTTGAGAAGTACTAGTAATCAGTGGCATTAAAGAAGTGGAAGAAGAGAAGGGAGTCTCAGTTGGTGTGAGCTCTTAAGAACTGCAAGAATGTTTCTTAATTTGCTCCCCACTTTTCCTTGCCCGTTCTTCCCACTCTCAGGAGTTGGAAGCCATTAAAGCTCGAGTGCGAGAGATGGAAGAGGAAGCAGAGAAGCTAAAAGAGCTGCAGAACGAAGTTGAGAAACAAATGAACATGAGCCCCCCGCCTGGCAACGGTAAGTCTCCTTAAGTTTCTTATAATTAATTTGTGCTCGCTCCTCGTCTTCCTCCCCCCACCTCCCGCAAAAGGTGGCAAGTATTCAGATACGGGGGATGGGGAGAAGTTAGGAATTTGTAATGGGTAAGAAACATCTGTAGAGGTCTCTTAAGTACGCAAACAAGACGTTATTGCTGACACTTTGAGGCTCTTGAATTCTGTGTTGGCCAGATCAAATTGATGTCCTTTTAAAAAATAGCCTAAGAGGGAGGACATGGGGAAATTACATTGGAACAAAGGAAGATGCTTTATTCTGAGTGGGACCCATGGTCCATCTAGCGCAGGTACAAGGGTTTATGCACATCTCGAGTTCCTCTACCTGCAGAAATTTCATTAATGTAGAATAGGCTAAATGGCTCATCTGGGTGTTGGAGTTGTTCTGGGAGATCGGATTCATGGATTGATTGTTTTAAAGTATTTGTAAACCTCTCTTCCATAGGAAAATATAGTAAGGCAGGATACGGCACAAAGACAACAACGGTCTTTGTTTAAAACCCCCCAAAAAAGTTGAATTTCCTTGGCATTGTCTTTACAGGGGTTTGTAAAAATCCCAGTTTGGACTCTGGTATACTTTGGCTAACCAGAGGCTGGAATTAAAACACTTTACAAGCTGCAGCATTACTGAAGTACAAGAAATTACTTATCGGTATGAGGCACTTTCACTGCACTGTTTTCAACAGCTGCTAAATAATATTTTGGTTAAGCGAGCCAGACATGTAACTTTATTGTGTCTACTTGTTTTTAAACAAAATAAATGCAGCATAGAGCTAGGAAAATTCCAGTGCAGAGCAGAACAAAGCAAGCTACTTTTCTTAACAGTTAGGATAAATGGAAGGTTAACTTGATGCCTTTAAAATTCACTTCAGGGAATTCATTTTTCCCTTGTCAGCAGAGGACATGGGAGTGTCTTTTAGATGATATGCATTCACCCCATTCATTTATCGGCTGTGGGGTTCCAAATGCTGTGCGAGTCTTGTGGCACTGAAGTGGGGTGAATGATTTGTTTCATAATATATATTTGATTGTAAAAAACATACAAAGTGGCTTACAAAAGTTAAAATGGTAAAATCGAGACAGATTTACAACCCTACTTTAAAACGTAAACATTAAGATTACTTGAACTTTCTAAGCATCTGAGTAGGTGTGTCTAGCAGACATGTTTAAGCAGGCACCTGCTTGATCTCAAAAGGCAGGGAGTTCCAAAGTGTAGGCGCTGCCACCACACTTAACAATCAAGTTCTTACAAATGCAGGACACCTGTGGTAGAGAAAGGAAGATGCTTAAAGCACCTCCAAACCTCTGATTCTCCATCGCAAATGGATGTGTGAATATGCCGACCCTGCAATTACATTATTTTAGCAAACAGCTTTGTGGAGATGACCTGATTAAGACTGGATTGTTTTGCTGTATCAGATGTGTAGCTAGTCACTTTTGAATATAGTTTTTAGAAAGGCAGGATAGAAGTGTGTTAAATAAGTCTAAAAAAATAAAAATGTAGCTGTGCCTAAAGTCTAGAGACTTGTTTTGCCAGGTGTCTTGTCCCAAACTAAGATGTGCTTGTGTAGGTGAGAGCCATTTTGCAGATGAATGAAGAGGTGTTTCAGTCGGGTGTTTCAGCTCTTACAGCATCAAGATTTTATGACTAAGGATTTTGAGCTGGCTTCTTCCTCTTTCCCACCCACCCCCTTTGCTGGAAACTTCAGTCAGTCAAATACAGGCTGGTGCTGATGGGAGTTGCAGCCCAGCAAAAACTGGAGGGCGCTAAATTTTGCTTTGTATCCAGGAAATCTCAGGTTCAACCCCTGGCCTCCCTAGGTAGACCTGGCAATGTCTCCCTGTCTGAAATTCTGGAGAATTGCTGCCACAAAGGTGGCTTCCTTTGTTCCTAGTTAAAATTGTTCAAACCAACTTTCAGATGCTAAAAGAAAGGGGCTCCGTTGTACTTACCTGGAGAGAGAATTACCTGCAGAGGGTTTGTGAGGCTGGTGGTGTCCAAAACAGTGTCAAGATTGCTTTGCCCAGGTGCTGGGCCTTTTCCCGCCTCATTTTGTTGCTTTCCAGTAGACTTGGCTAGCCACTTCTGCAGGAAGCACTGGCCAATCAGCATGTGCTTTTCCCCAGACCCCAGAATCAGAGGCAATTCTTCCTCCTCCAGCATTTTCCCGGCTTTACACCAGTGTTCAAAATTTGCCAGATGCATTTTGTACCTGGTTATCAGCCACTTGCAACCAAGTGAAGATGCCAGGATGTTGCCTGATGTTTCCACCATCTGGAGGTGCATGCCTGGGGGATCCTTGGATCTTGACTGTTTTCACACACTAGCAACACATCCTGTAGAATTTCGTCCATTCTATTTTATCTGCACTATCAGAACGAATTTCAGGAACCAAAAGGTCTTATTGAAAAATACGATTTTTGAGCCATCTGGTCCATTTTGGCGACTGTAACCCTGGTTAAAGAAGCCATTTGGTGGCCAGCTTATATATCTTAAGTGTCTTAACACTGCCTTACACTGTTTCTTTATCCCCAGCTGGCCCAGTCATCATGTCTTTAGAAGAAAAGATGGAAGCAGATGCAAGGTCCATATATGTAGGCAACGTAAGTCTGTTCCCTGAAGCCCAGCTCAGTCAGGAGGCCAAGAGATGTATCTTGGGTTTCCTCACCATTTTCAATCCTTGGTTTCAGGTGGATTATGGGGCGACAGCAGAGGAGCTGGAGGCTCACTTCCACGGTTGCGGCTCCGTCAACCGGGTGACCATCCTCTGCGATAAGTACACTGGCCATCCCAAGGGGTGAGTGCGTGTGACGGGATGGGGAAGCTGGGTGTGTTTTTTCCTCTGAGTGATTGCCTTTTAAGCCTGCCCATTCTCTCTCCCCCTGCTCTCCAGGTTTGCCTACATTGAATTCTCGGACAAGGAGTCGGTGAGGACGTCCTTAGCGTTAGATGAGTCGCTGTTCAGGGGAAGGCAGATTAAGGTGTGTACACTCTTCGGCCAGGCCCCTTCCCCCTGTGAAACATCATTTTATGGGCGAGAAGTTTGTGTAGTGCAGTGGCTGGGTGATGAAGGCTCTGAGTTGCTTGATCCTTTTTACCGTTTTCAATTTATTTATTTACTGCTACAGTACTTAATTCAGGAGTACACAAAAATTCATGCCCATTACAAAGTATCTTTTTATAATATAAACAGCTACTTAGTCTAAAAAAGAACAAAGGCAGAAAGGAGTAAAGGCAAGAAGAAGGAAAAGAGAGAAAGAGAAAAGATTAGAGAAATACAAGAATAAAAGCACTTCTGGTTTTCTGTCCTGCGGCTATAGTATTCACTCCTTAAGATCCAACCATTCTATCTTCTACAGACCAGTATGTAACGCAATTGTGAAGTGTATGCAGAGTTTAAAAACAGTTGCATAAGGGACTTATAAACATTTACCTTTTAAACATAAAAGTATCTTTCCGAAAAAAACAGAGTCCTTTTTGTTGGGGATAATTCAGAGGGAAATTCTCAGGTGTCAAAAAAACGATGTATGGTACTACTGCGGCCCAAGAATGGAAACTTAAACTGATGGTATACACACAGCTTGCAGATTTAACATATAGAATAGGAGAACAAGAAGAATACACATTTAAAGAAGACTGGGAAATGTTTACTGAATATAGGGGTGAAAGTTGTGTTCATTTAAAAACACTGGTAGCATTAAGTTGAATTCAACAGTGTAAATAAGATTTGATGGATGTAACGATGGATCACCGAATGGTTGAGTTCATGTAGAATATGCAGGGATGTATGGAATGCAAAATGAACCACCGAAAGAGAAGAAGGGAAGTCATTGATTTAAGGTTCTCTAAATTAATATTTTGAAATGTAGCTTAGAAAATCTAATAAAAAATTATATATAAAAAAGTTGCATAAGGATGGGCTGGGGGTGGTTTCTGGGATACCCTTGCTCTTGAGGCTAAGGGTATCTTCTCCTTTTGAAGGTGATCCCCAAACGGACCAACCGCCCTGGGATCAGCACCACAGACCGGGGTTTCCCCCGGACCCGGTACAGAGGGAGAGGATCCGGCTACAGCAGTTCCCGGGCCCGTTTCTACAGCGGCTTTAGCAGCAGGCCACCCCGAGGGCGCGCATACAGGTCTGGCACGACGGTGGTGGCAGGTTGGGGGAGGCGCTTCTACGCTCCTGCCTTGCAGGGGTTCCCGTGGGGTGGCGGCTGGAGTAGGGGAGATCTATTGGTTTAGAGTGGGAGGGCTCTTGAAGCCCCCAGACTGGAAGTAGACTGCACCAAGTGAGAGAGGTGATGGGCTGGGAACCACGACTGCTCTTGTTAAGCAGCAGCGCCAAGACAAAACGACTTTATAACTTGAACCAGCATTTTAATGACATTTCCAGTTGTAGATGCTGCTGGATTTGGGACTTCGAAGGAGGAAGCAATTCCAAGTATTGGAGTTGGGTCAGTTTTAATGTCATATTGCCAGTATTTTAATCTGAGTGTTCTTCAATCAGATTTGTAAGCTTTGGAAAGACAGAGTTTTGGGTTGGGGTGTTTATTATTATTGAAAGGTGGTCAGGTTCTCAATCGCGGGCTTTAGAATTTTTTTAGTCAGGACAGAAACTTTGCAAGCCAGAAAAAAAACCCTTAAAAACTCAACACCTGGCTTGCACAGATGAAAGCAAGCCACTCTCAAGGGGCTGAGCATTGTCCCAACTCTGAGGTCTTTAGGGTTTTGAGTTACTTAGCAAACCTTTCGTCTCTCTTTCATTAACCTGTGTTCTTCTTTTCTCCACAGGGGCCGGGCCAGAGCGACCTCATGGTATTCCCCTTACTAAAAACAAAAAAAAAAGTGGTTGTTTTAGGAAGGAGGAAAAAAAAAAGAAAAAAAATGAAGATTGTTACCATGACGGAAAAAAAAAAATACTGTTGGTGGGAGGTGGAAGTGTCTAATGCTGTGCAGAAAAAGAGGGCTGACTTATTGGGAGGGGGGAAGATGTAAACACGGGGCAGGGGGTCAAATCCTGTTGTCAAATTTCCACCTGCTGGTATTGCTGACTTGAGCCCTGTCCCCACCACGCCGCCACCCCCCACCCCACCCCCCGTCCAGCTCCTCATCCTTTTCTCTTCCATCTGCAGAGATTGTTGGGCAAAAACCGAGCCATCCTTCCTCTCATGCCATTTTTTTTTAATTGTTGCCCTGCATTTGGGGGAGGGGGCCGATGTGGGGGAGGGTTTGCCGACACCCCGAAATCTTTTGTGATACTATTTGTGTGTGTGTGTGTGTGTGTGTGAGAGAGAGAGAGAGAGAGTTTTGTAGTTTTTGTTCATCTTCCCAACCTTTCCTTCTGCAGCCTTTGCCCATTTGGTATGCCTGTTTTCCCCCACTCTCTCTCGTGTGCTTGGTTCTCCCCAAATCTCGTTTGCTCCCCCCCCCCCTTTTGCTTCAGGAATTAGCAGGGAGCGGGACCTGGGGTTCCTGCCTCCCGCGTTGGTGATCCTGCCCATTCCCAGACGTCCACCACCCTCTTTCTCACTTTGGGCAGACGAGTCTCTCTCGGCATCCCTCTCTAGCTGTGTGTCTGTGTATGTGTGTCTACGTCAGACGGGGGAGCCTGCCTTGGGGTTTTCTCTTACCCCATTGATCCCAATCTCCCCAATGGAGAAATGGCCCTGAAATGCTAATTCTAAAACAGGCTGGTGGGTGGGGAAGGTCCTGTAAAAATAGGCACCCCTCACTCAGAGCCATACATAAACTGCGACAGCGCCCCATTTTGTTCTTCCTGTCTTTGCCCCTGCGTCGCTGCCTCTCCCACCACCCCTGGGGGTATGTTATATGCCTTGTTTGAGTGTCTTTATCTTTACAGGTTTCTTTATTTTTTAGCCTGAAGAAATGACACCGAAACCTGAAGCTGTAGAGACCAGGGGCCGGGGAGAGGACACCCTTTTTGGGGGCAGGGGGTGGGGGGATGGAGGGAGCGGGGAGGAATTGAGGCCCATATTTCCATGTGGGAGAATGGTTTTTTTTTAAAAAAAAAAAAGAGAGAGAAAGAGAGAGAGAAAGGGGGAGGAGAGCCAGATTGGGCTGGAGGGCAGGGAAGAGGAAAGGAGGAGAAATAGAATAAAATGTTATGAGGGCAAAAAAAATTAATAAAAAATAAAGATGTTTTTTGGAAGAAAGATGAGTGTTGAGTGATTTATTATAATTTTTATTAGTTTTCGATTACAATCCACTAATAGCCTCATTGTAACGATTCCAATTTATAATACAATTATTAATACCAATCGTTCAAATATTGGATTATATAATTTAGATAAAGTGGCCCTCCGTATGCTAGATTTGATGGTTTGGTTATTTTCTTTATTTCTGCGTTCAAGAATCTTATTAATTTCAATTGCATTCCGGTCATAATAATAATCCCTTATACAACAACTGCAGTATTAATAGCTTCTATTCGTGTTGGCACATTAAATGATTTATAAAGCCGCAAGTGAAGAACTCAAAACTATATCCTCCTTCCTGTGTGTGGCAATTAATCTTTCTTTGGCGTTTCTTCCCGTCCTTGTAAGATGTTATGTCTTCCTTTCCCCCAGTTGTTGCTGTTTTCCGTCATGCCTTGGGCAGAACTGATGAGTACTGAGTGATCTTGCAGCTAGGACTCCTGGGTTCCACTCCTACAAATAAAGACACATACCTCTTCCTTTTGGAAGATGTAATTTAATTTCGCGCACACTTTAACTGCTTTCCTCAAAAGCAGGAAGCTGATATTAGAAATGAGAGCACAGTCCAGGTCCTCTGCCGCTCCTTAGCAAGCAAGCAGCTCCTCTGGCTGACAGAAACATCGCCTGCCTGCATCAACTTGCCTTCAGCCAGATGGGAAAATAAGCAAAACACACACAGAGAGACACACAAAGTGGCTGCGGTGTCAGCTATGAGCTGTGGCAGCTGCTCTCCCTTTTCTAGTTAGAGCCGCAGAGCGCCGATGTGGCTGTTGGCTCTTCCCATGGGACTGGCGGGTGATCCTTAAGTGAGCAAGCAAGGAGGAAGTTGCATGGCTGAATCAGCAGCTGAGAGTTTGCAAAGCAGGTGATTAGGGTGAGGAAACAAGCTGGGAGACTGCTCAGATGCTGGTGGAGGAAAAGCAGTTGAAAACAAGTGGACACCAGTGAGGGCTAAACGTTGAGCCTCCTTGGCAGCGAAGGCAGAAAAGAAGGCGTATTTTGCTGCCTTGATTGTTCCGGGTCCCGTCTGGCCTGAAGGAGGTGGTGGAACAGACGGAAGCTCACTGTTTGCAAAGCATTTTGAGGATGAACCTTTAATTCCCTGGAACCTTGGCTGCTGTTAACAGCAGATGGATCTCAAGGCTTTCCCAGAACCCTTTCTAGTGCTGTTGCATTGGAGGAGTTTCGCTTTGTAAGGCTCAATGGACAAGGTCATCAGGATTAGTCAGGAAAGCCACGTGTACTCTTGGCCCTGGCCTGTTGTTGTTTAGTCGTTTAGTCGTGTCCGACTCTTCGTGACCCCATGGACCAGAGCACGCCAGGCACCTCTGTCCTCCACTACTTCCCGCAGTTTGGTCAAACTCATGCTGGTAACCTCAAAAACACTATCCAACCATCTCGTCCTCTGTCGCCCCCCTTCTCCTTGTGCCCTCCATCTTTCCCAGCATCAGTGTCTTCTCTAGGGAGTCTTCTCTTCTCATGAGGTGGCCAAAGTACTGGAGCCTCAGCTTCACGATCTGTCCTTCCAGTGAGCACTCGGGGCTGATTTCCTTCAGAATGGATGCGTTTGATCTTCTTGCAGTCCATGGGACTCTCAAGAGTCTCCTCCAGCACCACAATTCAAAAGCATCAATTCTTCAGCGATCAGCCTTCTTTATGGTCCAGCTCTCACTTCCATACAGCACTACTGGGAAATGGCCCTGGCCTAAGAAGGCATTAATCTAGCTCCCTGGCCCAGCCAGTTGTCTCCTATATATATATTAATTTAATATATATAAACTAATTTTATTAGTTTTTTAACATACCATTTTCAACAGTAATTAAACATACTTTTACATCTTACTCAATTTTTTTGACTTCCATCAGTCCTGTCTGAAAATTTTCCAATCTAATCTCTTAGTATGCATTTCTTATTTTCCCTGTTACATTTCAAATTCATAACCAATATCTATTTTTTTCTAGTTTGTAGATTTCTCCTTACAAAACTTCTTGTAGTCCTACTAGCGTAATTTGTTGATTACAGTTGCTCTTCAAATAATTCATATACTTCTTCCAATCTTCTGTAAATCTCTGGTCCCGCAGGTTTCGAATCCTTCCCGTCATTTTGTCCAATTCTGCATAGTCCATTAATTTCGTCTGCCATTCTTCTTTCGTCAGAATTTCTTCTTGCTTCCATTTCTGGGCTAACAGTACTCTTGCCACTGTTGTTGCATATAAGAACAATTTAACATCTTGCCAAGACAATTTAATGTCTTGGCTCATAATACCAAGTAAAAATGCTTCTGGTTTTTTTAAGAATATGTATTTCAACATCTTTTTCATCTCATCATATATCAGGGAAATGTTAAGTAACTACTGGCCAGTTGCCAATCTCCCTTTGGGAAGGGTTTTAGAGCAGGTTCTAGAGTGGTGGACCAGATCCAGGAGCTCTTAGAAAAAAACTGATTTACTAGATCCATTCCAATCAGGGTTATGGCACAGAAACTGCTTTGATTGCCTTGTATGAAGCCTGTTGGGAAAGAGACAGGAAATGTCCCCCGTTAATTCTCAACCTCTCAGCGGCTTTCGATACCAAGTTTTGGGTGGGTGGCACTGCTTGGGGTCGTTCTGGTCCTACTTGGATGCTCATTTGGGAAGTGGTCTCCAGGACCCCTGGCGTGTGGGGCTCCTCAGGGTTCAGTTTTATTCCTCACATTGTGGAGCACTGAGTGGAGTTATCTAGAGGTTTGGAATTTCATTGTCAACAATACAGTGTTACCTCAGGTTAAGTACTTAATTCGTTCCAGAGGTCTGTACTTAACCTGAAACTGTTCTTAACCTGAAGCACCACTTTAGCTAATGGGGGCTCCTGCTGTTGCCGCGCCGCAGGAGCACGATTTCTGTTCTCATCCTGAAGCAAAGTGCTTAACCTGAAGCACTATTTCTGGGTTAGCAGAGTCTGTAACCTGAAGTATATGTAACCTGAGGTACCACTGTATGCAGATGACACCCAGCTCCACTTTACATCTGCCTTGGTAATGGACTGGATGAGAGCCAACAAACTGAAGCTCAATCCAGATTAAGACTGAAGCCCAGCTATGCCCCTATCTGGGCAGGGATAACCTAACCTGTTGTCTCTGCTCTCATAACCAAGTTTGGAAACTTCAGTTTGTGCCGAATTAGAAGGCCATTTTGAGCCTATTGCACCAATCCTGGCTCAATCACACTGGCTGCCAATTAGCTTCTGGGCCCAATTCAAAGTGCCGGTGTTTGACATATAAAGTCTTAAGCGACTCAGGACCGCGATACCTTAAGGACTACCTCTACCCATATGAACTGACCCTGCGATCGGCACCTGAGGCCCTTCTTCGTCTGCCTCCACAAGAGGTCTGGTCAGGCAGCAACACTAGGATGGGCCTTTTTTCCTGTGGTGGCTGTGTGTGCCAGAGAGGCTCACCTTGCTCCTTCATTATATATCTTTAGGTCCCAGATGAAAACATACTTCTCCCAGGCCTTTGGATGATCAATGTTCTACGGCCTTGTAAATGTGTTGGGTGTGTGTTACTGGTTTGTTTTTATTACCCACTTTGTGTTCTCATGTATTTTTATGTTGTGAACTATCCTGTGATCTTCAGGTGAAGGGCAATATACAAATTTAATAAATAATAATAGTAATAATGTAGTCCCATGGGAGCAATGCTACCATTGTGGGCTTTAGAAGTCTGGTGAAATGGAATTAGCTTCTGCTGGAAATCCTGGCCATCTTTTGGGGAATCTGCAGTATGTGTGTGTGTGAGAGGGAGAATATATAGTGGTACCTCGGGTTACATACGCTTCAGGTTACATACGCTTCAGGTTACAGACTCCGCTAACCCAGAAATATTACCTCAGGTTAAGAACTTTGCTTCAGGATGAGAACAGAAATCGTGCAGCGGCAACAGGAGGCCCCATTAGCTAAAGTGGTGCTTCAGGTTAAAAACAGTTTCAGGTTAAGAACAGACCTCCAGAACAAATTAAGTACTTAACCCGAGGTACCACTGTACAGGCAAGCCCCAAACTTAGAGCCTGAGCTTGGCCGCGTGTTGCCTTTCTGCCTCCCGGTTTATTGGTCTACATACTTCTCTAAAACCGCTCTTCTGTCTTCAGAGTGGCTGGATCACTGCCAGAAATACTCCACTTGCAGGCTGCAGATTTTGCGCACCTCCTACTCAATGCTTTCTTGCTGCAGGAATTTTCCTGCGTTTTAAAAAAAACCCTACTTCAGTGCAGCACAGATTTCTCAGCATAACGGCATGTTGCATAACTGGATTGCTGGGTGCCCCAACAACAGAGATGCAAGGGGCAGTGTGTTAACTTGTCCAGTGAGCTGAGCAGGACCCCCCTATTTGGAGCAGGAGCTTTTCACACAAATGACCATTGCGGGGGTACAGGATTATCCGTCCCATCTTCCCTGAACTCACTGCTTGGAGTTGATGGGAGCAGGAGTCCTGGACCAACAGGTGCAGAAAAACGGATGTGTGTCCCAAATATTTTTTTACCATAAAGGGGTGTGTGCAGGGAAGAGTATTGTGGGATGCTGTAAATGTGGGTCTTGTGAGAGTGCAGCCCTGTCTTTTTGCATGTCGAAAGGACAAAACATGCTCTGGAAAGCAAGAAGAATGATGGAAGAGGTGCCAGAAGTCCCCTGCTACAGCTGACTGAAAAAATGCACAATCGGGTACCATGATAGAAAGCAGGGAGGTTGAAGTAGAGATGCGTAAAGGTAAAGGGACCCCTGACCATTAGGTCCAGTCATGACCGACTCTGGGGTTGCGGTGCTCATCTCGCTTTATTGGCCGAGGGAGCTGGCGTACAGCTTCCAGGTCATGTGGCCAGCATCACTAAGCCGCTTCTGGCGAACCAGAGCAGCGCACGGAAATGCCGTTGACCTTCCCGCCGGAGTGGTACCTATTTATCTACTTGCACTTTGATGTGCTTTCGAACTGCTAGGTAGGCAGGAGCTGGGGCAGAGCAACGGGAGCTCACCCTGTCACGGGGATTCGAACTGCCGATCTTCCAATCAGCAAGCCCTAGGGGCTCAGTGGTTTAGACCACAGCGCCACCCGCATCCCAACAATCCGTTGCACTTTCATTCAAACCCCAATTAAAACTATTTAATGAATGCAAGAAAAATTATTCGTTTAGGTTGGCAGGAGCAGGGACCGGGCAACAGGAGCTCACCCTGTTGCGGGGATTCGAACCGCTGACCTTCTGATTGGCAAGTCCTAGGCTCTGTGGCTTAACCCACAGCGCCACCCGCATCCCTAGAGATGCTTGGGTGTGTTTAAAGAATTTTTACATGGCGAGTTGAGAGATGAGCAGCTCCCATTTACTGCCGAGTTTGGAGATTTCACTCATTTGCGCATCGAACAGGGAAATGTGTTTCTGCAGCAAGTTTGCACCTGCCACTTTCCCAGCATTTGAGCAGCAAACTTGCTGGCCATGCCATGCAACTCTGCATCAAAAGAGACCCAGTAGGCTTTTCCATGCAAGGACCTCTCAGGGCAGCTTTTTCTCCAGATGCTCCGAACTACAAATCCCATCAGCCCCAGGTTAGGAGAGGATGCCTTAGGGCAGGGGAGCCTCTGCCCTCCCCAAAGGTCTTGAGAATGCCCAACTCCCACCATCCCTGCCCATTGGCTATACTGCCTGAGTGGGAAGGAGCTGAAATATCAGGAGGGCTGTAGGCTCCCTATCTGTGCTTGAGGGAAATGCTAGCATTTTTTGGGGGGTGTCCTGGGACAGTTGCTGTTCCACGTTGAGGAAAGACATCAGTTGCAGTTGCACCCAAACTCCATGAGGAACCCGGACAAACATTTCTAGCGCCGTCGAAATAAATGGGGCAAAGCAAAGGATTCTCAAGAAGTCCCCCCCCAAACTTTAATTTGTATTTAGCTTATTAACAGTCAGTAGTTTGTTTCCCGTAGAAAGCAGCCAACCGTCTTCCCGGAGTCTCCTGTGTGGGTTGTGTTTTGAGTTGCCAAAAGAGCAGGTGGAGTGGCCCAGTCTGTTCCTTCCCACATTCAGGCATCTCTCCCCCCCCCTTCCTCCTTGGTGATAAAAATTAGCATTTTCCTTGGGCCCAGAGGGGTGGAACAACCAGTTGTACCTGATGACGTGTGCATGTCAATGCTTTATAAAGTATACAAATAGGCAGGGAAGAGAAGGAATTAGGTTTCTTTGCTGTTAGTGCCGTAAGTAAGGCTGCAGCTTGCTGCTTCCTTTTGGCAGTAAGGAAGCAGAAATCCAACAGGGTTTTGCTCCCTCTAGGATGGTAAAACGGGGAAATGCTGCCCAGCTTATGAGGCAATCCTGACCCCCAAGTGTTGAATAATGGCCATGGAGTGCAGCAGCGGATTGTGGGATAGTGAGCAGCCATCTTTTGCAAGATCATGGAGAAGAACAGAGAACAGCCCACTTTTAAAAGGCTCTTGCTTCCATTTTGGGGTTAAGTCAACTCTGGCAAGAGTGACATTCAAAGCCCTTTGTACACGGAGATGTGCTATCAAAACAATGACTGAATGTAGTGCATAGGTTGAAAGCTCTGACCCTAACCTTGAAACTGGCCCGTAAAGGTTCCGTCTTGGCCTCAGTTTCCTAAATCTGTGAAATGGGAACAGAAACCATCTGATCCGAATGAATCCTCTACGGTTCAGTATCTTGGGGCAAGTTATACCCCCAAGATGGTTAAATATCCAATACTGTATGGGTGTTTTTTCCAGACTGGAGAGCAGCCAAGCATTTTAAGGAAAAAAATACAAAAACAGATGAGAGGTGAGTAAACACCTCTCTAAATCTGGCACCCTATTATTTCTGCCAGGGCTCCTGGGCCTTTTAACACCTGACTGCCAGAAATCTGGCAGGGAAATAATAATAATAATTTATTATTTGTACCCCACCCATCTGGCTGGGTTTCCCCAGCCACGCTGGGTAGCTTTCCCTGGTTCCCCATTCTCCAATTTGGACAGAGCTTCACCTGTCAATTTCCACTTGCAGAAGCGGCCAAGATGAGGGATCAAGGCAGACAGCTGCTCTTTCGGGGCAGGGAACTCAGAGAAAGGACCTGGCTTTCTGGAAATACTGTACCAAGGAGCTTATTATTATTGCACACAGAGTGGTCTTGTTTTGTGAGGGTTCGCCGTCCCAACCACGAAAGCCTGCATGGTCAGGGGGTGGGTGTGTGGTCTTGGGCCGGGCCTCGTCCGGTGAGCCACACCAAATCGCCAACTGAACTGCGTGTGTGCGAGGAGCGGGGGCAAGCCAGTTTGTAGGCTTATTTAAAAAAGGAAAAAAGATAAATGATCAGCGTTGCTAATGGTTTACCCCCACCCAGCCTGCGACACGGAGAAAAGGGCAGCTCTCCGGCTGCTGCTTCTCATGCTAGGCCGCAGAACGAAACGGGGAAAAGTGGAGGCCGCTTGGCAATGTCTTCTTCTGCCCTTGCGAGGCCTCAGTGAAGTCCCAAACGGCGCGGCGGGCAAAGGAGGTCCAGATCCAGCCAGGGCGTGTGTACGGCGGCGGCAGAGGGTGCATCAGCTGGCTGGGTTCGGCGTGGACAGCAGAGGCACGTCGTCCCGCCGGGTGGCGCCTTCCGAGTCCCGGCTCTCTCCTCCTCCGGCCCGGCGTAGCAGCGAAGGCCTCCGGTAGAGTTCGCCGTCGCGAAGGCCCTCGGGCAGCCCCTTGCGCTTGCTCTCGGGCAGCAGCATCAGGCAGAGGAGAGCCAGGATGTTGAGGGAGGCCAGGACGATGTGCTCGAGGAAAGAGCCGTGCTGCTCTCGCAGCCGCAGCAGAGGGGCGCTCAGGCCGCCCAGGGACGCCACGGCCAGGATCAGGCCCAGGCCCTTGCCCCTGTGGAGGGAGAAAGAGAGAGGGCCTTGGTGACGTGAACCTGAAACCAGTTGCCATAGGGACGTTATCGCCAAGGTCGCGGAGCTCAGCGTGCCTCAAGGACAAGGCTGAACCAGCGGCAGGAAGGGCTCGGCGGATGTTGTTAATCCTTGCTCCTGCGTTATCTAACAAAGTTCTCCAAAACAGGTGGACGGCGAAGGCTAGAGAAAGAGCTGTGAGCAGAAGGGGGGTCCTTTTCTCAAGGCTGCCGTAAATGGAACGAAAGAGAATGTCGAATTGTAGGCTTGGAAGGGGTCCCGAGGGTCATCCACACCAACCCCCTGAAATGCAGGAATCTGAACTAAAGCCGCCATGCCAGACGGCCGTCCAACCTCTGCTTAAATACCTCCAGAGGAAGGGGAGTAAACAAGTATGAGGGGGAAATGGAAATTCTTGCGCTCCAAAAGTGCTCGGTGGCTTACGGAGTTTCGAAGGGCTCTGCATGACGTTTTACTCGGGTTAGTCACAAAATGTTATGCAGATGAATCCCGACTGCTAAATACACCTCAGCTCCTGCCATTCGCCTTCCTTCCTCGCTCTCAGCATTTTAGAGAGTTCAGCAAGCTGTGTCCATGTGCATATGTTCCCAGTCTTAAGGACTTGAAACTTATTTTATTTTATATATACATTATTTTTATTAAATTTTCTGTTTTACAATTTAGAATACTCATGTAAACATCCTTAAAATATCAGCGAACTTCCCTTCTTCTCTGTCCATGGTTCATTTTGCGTATCATAAATCCCTGCATATTTTACAGACACTATACCATTCAGTATTCCATTATTACATCCGTCAAAACTTACTCACACAGTTGAATTTATCTTAATGCTGCCAAGGTTTTCAAGTGTACACAATTTGCCCCCATATATTCAATAAACATTTTCCAATCTTCTCTAAACGTATGTTCTTCTTGTTCTCTTATTCTATATGTTAGGTCCGCAAGCTGCCCATATTCTGTCAGCTTAAGCTGCCACTCTTCTTTAGTTGGCACCTCGCTCGTTATCCAGGGACTAGAAACTTTTTTTTTAAAAGGACAGCGTGGTTTTCATGAAGCAGAACTCTGTCCTGATACCAGTACCAAATTCTTTTAGTTTCTTTTTGATTTTTATAGTTCTTTAGTTATAAAGGTACCCCTGCCCGTATGGGCCAGTCTTGACAGACTCTAGGGTTGTGCGCCCATCTCACTCAAGAGGCCGAGGGCCAGCGCTGTCCGGAGACACTTCCGGGTCACGTGGCCAGCGTGACATCGCTGCTCTGGCGAGCCAGAGCCGCACACAGAAACGCCGTTTACCTTCCCGCCAGTAAGCGGTCCCTATTTATCTACTTACACCCGGGGGTGCTTTCGAACTGCTAGGTTGGCAGGCGCTGGGACCGAGCAGCGGGAGCGCATCCCGCCGCGGGGATTCGAACCGCCGACCTTTCGATCGGCAAGCCCTAGGCGCTGAGGCTTTTACCCGCAGCGCCACCCGCGTCCCTCTTTAGTTATACCTTCTGCTTTAATACTTTTTAGATTTACAAAACGTTTTACAGATTCTAAATGGTTGTGCTCCACCCTACTTATGCTGCTCTTCAACCGTAATAAAGATTTGATTGAGTATCAAATTCTGTGCATGTGTGACAATGCCACACGAATTTATAGAGACACAGGAATATACTTCTGGTCCATCTAGGATTCCCAGCCCCACCTTCAGATGTGAGGAATTGAACCTGGAACCTTTCAAAGCAGGCATTAGACCAGGCATGGCCAAACTTGGCCCTTCAGCTGTTTCGGGACTACAATTCCCATCATCCCTGACCACTGGTCCTGTTAGCTAGGGATGATGGGAGTTGTAGTCCCAAAACAGCTGGAGGGCCAAGTTTGGCCACGCCTGCATTAGACCCTACTGAGCTATGAGACTTCCTCACCTTCAGCTGCTGGGGAAGCGAAATAAAGAGAGCAACAAAATGGCCACAGCAAGAGGGCTAGAAACATGAAAGAGAAAAATGGGGGCCAGGGCGGCTGTTCCCAAGCAGTTGGCGAAAGAAGGGTGGACTATACTACCAAAGGAGATATAGCCAGGGTGGAGTTTTAAAATAGGGCCACCTTCTCGCAGTTTCACAACTCCCCGTCCACAGCCTTACATGATGGTACAGCTTCTTTCCCCCAAAGAATCCTGGGAGATGTAGTTTGTTAAGGGCCTGAGAGAGGCCTCTCGCTCTCTGCACCTCACCTGATCACGGTGGGGATGACCTCGGAGGCGAAGAAGATGCTGAGGGATCCAGCTGCGTGGGAGGAGAAGAGGCCAAGGATGGAGAAGGTTCTCCGCGCAGCATCGTTGAGATCTGCAACGCGGAGGGAGGGAAAGGGCAGGAACAGGGTGAAAAGGGGACCTAAGAGAGGTCTCAGCCAACAGAAGTGGCTCCAAATATTTTTCCACTCAAAGCAGAAGAAGCTTATCTGTTCACTTATACCTCTATATAATATATCAAAAGTATATAATAATACTTTTGGCCTTTAACTATCTGTGGTCTTTTCAAAGCGGGTGGGGTGTTTTTTAAATGTATTTCTTTATCCTCTTGGTTTTAATATATCTATGTGGGGTCTTCTGTCTGTCTGTCTGTCTGTTTGTTTGTAAGTTGCTTTTTGCCCTGGGCAAGATAAAGCAACAAACCAATTACAGTGGTACCTCGGGTTACATACGCTTCAGGTTACAGACTCCGCTAACCCAGAAATAGTACCTTGGGTTAAGAACTTTGCTTCAGGATGAGAACAGAAATTGTGCAGCGGCAGCAGGAAGCCCCATTAGCTAAAGTGGTGCTTCAGGTTAAGAACAGTTTCAGGTTAAGAACAGACCTCTGGAACGAATTAAGTACTTAACCCAAGGTACCACTGTATGATCATTATTCTTATGGTGGTTCAAAATGTGAAAAAACAAAAATACATAACCTACCAACAAACAATAACAATAATGAATAATAATAATATGCAAATTAAAACAAGAAAAATATATCCTTTGAAATATAGAAATTACGTGCAAAGACATGACACTAATTAGCCCTGTACAAGATGTAGCACAGGTGTGACTCAACAGGGCATTATATGTTGTTCTTCTTCTTAATTTCATTTCTAAACTGCTTTATATTTTTAAGGGAAAAAACCTTGAAGCAGTTTACAACCTACATTAAAACATCAAGCAAAACGATCCAGAATAAAACACGACTGAATAAAGTCAAGTATACATTCAAAGCAACATACTTAACAGGAGATTATATCTTTAAAAGGTTTCAAAAGGAAACATTGCAAACGAGGTCAACTACAGAATGGACATATAACACAGCTAAGTTAACAACAACAACAACAACAGCATCGTTATCTTAAACATGTCAAAAGAAAGCATCACTAAAGGAAATGCACGTTTAAATTCATTCACAAGAGGCTAACAAATTATCCCATACATAGAAGCTATTGAGAGTCAGGCCTAGATCAAGCAGTACCTCCTCACCTGCAAGTGTGCTATTTCAAAGGGGTGCGACCCATTCTAGATTGCAACAGACTAAACACTGCCTCTCTAATTACAGAATTGCATACTGACTGTACCTCTGACTTCTATGGATCGAGCTTCACTTTGCTGGATTTCATTTTACTAATTTGAGGGGCTGTTTCTGCCCAGCAGCAACCTCTCCATCTACATTTTTTAAAAAAGATACTTTATTTTATTTTGACAAAGTAATAATCATGAGTAAGTAAGAACAAAAAATGTGCACTCCACCACTGAGACCATTCCAACTATCCACCTCCCAAAATTTCAACCCCTTTCCGTTTTATTCTACAGGCACCTTTCATATCTCCTCAGAATAATTTCTCCTGCATATTTCTACTGCCTTGCCTTAATGGCACATGTTAATGTATCATTCACAGCTATATCCCACACCTGTTTATACCATTCTTCCATCTTATATTCTGCTTGCCCCTTCCACTTCCTAGCTATAATAACTCGTGCAGCTGTCAATAAATTTGCGAGCAAGTCCTTCTTAGCCTGCGAACCTTCCACCCCATCGTAAATTGATAATAATGCTACCCCTGGACTTTGGGGTCAGCTTCCCATCTACATTTGATGGGGAAAAGAGAATAAACCGGACTGGTTGTTATCAGCCTACTGAGTCCTCAATCTGCGGTCATGTCTCCGCAATCTGCCTAGTGCGTCTTTCTGGAAGGGCAGAGGAGCCCTGCGACACACAGCCTCATTTTGGGCGTGACCATGATTGCAAATGAAACTCATTAGCGGCTTTTTTTTAAAAAAGGAAAAGGGACTCGAAGCGACTTACACTCTCCCAGGCCCAGCAGAATCAGGGAAGCGATGCCGGCCAGCGTGGTGGTGAGAAGGAGAATCCCGCGGCGTCCGTAACGGTCAACGCTCAGGCACAGGAAGAGGCAGGCGAGGCCCGCACTGCCGGATGACAGCAGGTAGCAGAGGTAGAAGTTGGCCCGTGGATCCTCCTGGGATTCCCAGGCCAGCAGGTAACAGTGGCAGATGGCGTGGGCGATGAATCTGGAGAGGTGCCATGCAGAAAACAACAACAATGCAGTTTAGTTTTTAGTTTTTTACAGTAGTACCTTGGGTTAAGTACTTAATTCGTTCCGGAGGTCCGTTCTTAACCTGAAACCGATCTTAACCTGAAGACCACTTTAGCTAATGGGTCCTCCTGCTGTCACCACGCCGCCAGAGCACGATTTCTGTTCTCATCCTGAAGCAAAGTTCTTAACGTGAGGTAATATTTCTGGGTTAGTGGAATCTGTTACCTGAAGCGTATGTAACCCGAGGTACCACTGTATATCCAATTTTGGGGGGATTGGAGGGAATGAAAGGTGACCCGGAAACTACAACTAATCCAGAATGCAGCAGCCAGACTGGTGACTGGGAGCGGCCGCCAAGACCCTATAACACCGGTCCTGAAAGACCTACATTGGCTCCCAGTACATTTCCGAGCACAATTCAAAGTGTTGGTGCTGACCTTTAAAGCCCTAAGCAGCCTCAAAGGCCCAGTATACCTGAAGGAGCATCTCTACCCCCATTGTTCAGCCCGGACACTGAGGTCCAGCTCTGAGGGCCTTCTGGCGGTTCCCTCACTGCGAGAAGTGAGGTTACAGGGAACCAGGCAGAGGGCCTTCTCAGTGGTGGCGCCTGCCCTGTGGAACGCCCTCCCACCAGATGTCAAGGAAATAAACAACTATCTGACTTTTAGAAGACATCTGAAGGCAGCCCTGTTTAGGGATGTTTTTAAGGGTTGATGTTTTTATTATGTTTTTAGATATGTTGTAAGCCGCCCAGAGTGGCTGGGGAAACCCAGCCAGATGGATGGGGTATAAATAATAAATAATATTAATATTAATAATATTGAACGCAGCTTGCGGGAAGAAAATGCATCCAAACCAAAAGCACCCCAATGAAAAACAAAAAGAAAGCAGAAGAACAAAAATTAAAGCAGCAGGAGTTTTTTAAATATAAAAATCATGGAAACGTAGAGTTGGGAGAAAATAACAGGGAAAACTGACGAATATCTTTAAAAACATTTTAAAAAGAGCAACCAAACAGTGATTCACTCAGCTTTGATAAAGTTGTAAGTGGTAGTGCGCAAATCTCATAGTTTCTCTCAAGGGAAGTTGAGATGAAATTGTATGTTATAAAAAGGAAAGGAATTAGGACCACTGAAATGGTGATATGCATTCTAGATCCTTGCATGGTGTGATGGCGGATTAAAAGTTAAAAGCCACCTGGTGGTCTGTGATCTTGCCCCCCCCCCCTGTATATACCTCCCCAACCCCCACCAATGCCAAGACTTTCTGGTTCAGGACAAAGAAAAGTGGACTTACGTGGTGAAACCGAGGATGAGAACATTCTTCCAGATGTTTCTGCAGGACAGAACGGCCCGGAACGAAATCTGGGCTGCAGCGGGGAGGTGGCAGGCATTATCAAGTTCTTCAGAAGCAGATTTGGGGGGAAAACACACAAAATAAAGGAGTTGAAAAGAAGGGCATTCCACCCATGAGGAGAAGCTACAGCCAAACGGCTCTCCTCCTGTATTGCTCCTTTTACTGAAATCTATGCAAAGTCTTCAATGAGCCCCATTTATTAAATCTGCCAATCAAAAGGCATCTCTCAAAACTCGCCAGGAATTGACCCCAGACATTTTGCAGCCTCCCTCTTTGGAGTTCGTGATAGGCCTATATATTCTGGTTTTCTTGCTGCCTATATAATCTCTTGCGACTTTATGTTGCTCTGCCCTGTAATATGTATCTGAATAAATGTGCTTCATTTCCTTAAAAATAAAATAAAATCCCTTTGCTTTCTTAATGCTGGTTATTGTCCGCCTCAATAAAGGTTTGAGAGATATGTATATATTTCTATATATACTTTAAAGGGGCAGGTGGAAAGGAGGGCAGAGGCTTCCCACTTCACCTAGAGCCCAGTTCTTCAAGCAGAAATTGGCATGCCCTCTGTAAAGGCTCCCAGTTTTTGGATCAAAGCCCTCTCAGCATGCTCTTCTTGAGACTCACCTTCCAGGGCCTCCTGAGCCTCCGACTCCTGGCTGCCACTGCCCTGAGCCAGGGCTATCAGGATCTCCTTGGCTTGGGCTGTCCGTCGCGTGGCCAAGAGCCACCGGGGTGAGTCTGGGTACAATCCAGGGCACCTAAGCAGGATAGGGGCGGGGGGGGGGAATCAGGGGTAACAGGCAGCATTAGAAACTAAGATATGAAAGCTAGGAGCTAAATGACACCTTAAACCTAGGTTATGGATGCAACAACGGAATGTCTAGGCACACTTTTTTAATAACAAGAATACATAGCTGTCAACGTTTCCCTTTTTTAAAGGGAAATTCCCTTATTCCAAATAGGATTCCTTGCAAGAAAAGGGAAAAGTTGACAGCTATGCAAGAATACAAAGCTGAAAATGAATGGACTGCAGCTAACATTTTATATTCATTTTTTGCATGGTCTAATCCTCATCTGAAGACTGCAGAAAACAACAACAACAATTTATTATTTATACCCCGCCCATCTGGCCAGGCCTCCCCAGCCACTCTGGGCGGCTCCCAACAGAATATTAAAAACACGATAAAATATCAAACATTAAAAACTTCCCTAAACAGAGCTGCCTTCAGATGCCTTCTAAAAGTCAGATAGTTGCTTATTTCCTTGACATCTGATGGGAGGGTGTTCCACAGGGTGGGCGCCACCACCGAGAAGGCCCTCTGCCTGGTTCCCTGTAATTTTAATTCTCACAGTGAAGGAACCACCAGAAGGCCCTCGGCGCTGGACCTCAGTGTCCGGGCTGAACGATGGGGGTGGAGATGCTCCTTCAGGTATACTGGGCCTTTGAGGCCGTTTATGGCTTTAAAGGTCAGCACCAACACTTGGAATTGTGCCGGGCGGTAGTTTCCCATGCCGGGTGCAACTAGCAAAAAGGCTTTCAGCCTCATTATAACAACGCCAAATTATAATGCAATTACTAATACCAATCATTCAGATGCCAAATTATGTAATTTAGGTGGCCCCCCGCATGCTAGAATTGGTGGTTTGATGATTTACTATATTTCTGCGTCCCCAAATCGTATGAATTTCAATCACGCTCCAGGCAAAATAGCAATCCCTTATACAACAACAGCAATATTAATGACTTCCATTCGTATTGACACATTAAATGATTTATAAATCTACAGGTGAAGCGTTCAAACCATAGCCTGTCCGTGATGTTTCTTTTTTGTCCTTGTAAAATATTATGTTTACCTTTGCCCGGTTGTTCTCCTTCATGCCTTGGGCGGAGCGAATATCCCTTTCTTATAATGAGCCTATTATTGCATTATTGTAATTGAAAACTAATAAAAATATGATTTAAAAGGCCTTCTGCCTGGTTTTGGTGAGAGGTTTCAGTGACGCAGCCACAACTTACCCATAGAGGAGGCAGAGGCCCAGCCCAGCCGCCATGACGCCCTGCAAGACCCTCCAACCTCCACACGCCAGTGCCAGCCCCAGAAGAAGGAAGTGCCCCCCAACCATGAGGAGGTCTGCTGCCATGGTCACAGGCAGCCGCTGGGGGGGACAGCACAGCTCCAAGCCTGGAAAGGAAGAGGGGCAGTGGGCGAGTCAAGGCATGGCCAGGCGAAAAGGATGGGGGGCAAATTTCTAAGCTGCAATTAAATATTTTCCAGGGGTAACAGAGTGGCGGTTGACATGGAAAACAATGAAAACGCCAGATGAAAACATCAACGAAACTCCCTAAACCAGGGGTGTCCAATCGTTTTTTGGCCATGCCCCACCTAGGTAAAGGTAAAGGGTCCCCTGACCATTAGGTCCAGTCTCGGACAACTCTGGGGTTGCGGCGCTCATCTCGCTTTATTGGCCAAGGGAGCCGGTGTACAGCTTCCGGGTCATGTGGCCAGCATGACTAAGCCGCTTCTGGTGAACCAGAGCAACCACGGAAACGCCGTTTACTTTCCTGCCTCTTTATCTACTTGCACTTTGAGGTGCTTTCGAACTGCTAGGTGGGCAGGAACTGGAGCAGAGCAACGGGAGCTCACCCCGTTGCGGGGATTCGAATTGCCGACCTTCTGATCAGCAAGCCCAAGAGGCTCAGTGGTTTAGACCACAGCGCCACCCGCGTCCCAACAATCCATTCCACCTTCATTCAATCCCCAATTAAAACTACTGAATGAATGCAACAAAAATGATTCGTTTTAATTAATGCAACCAAACAAAGCTGGATTGAGCGCTGGCAGCCTGTCAAGTCGGGTGGTCATTTACACCTGTTTCCCCTTGCCTCTTCACCCCCCCCTAGTGAAACTCACCCCCTCCCAGGGGGCTGCAACACCCATTTGGAGAACTACTGAGATAGGTGCACCAATGACTTGATTCAGCACAAGGCAGCGTCTTGTGTTTCCTACGCTGCGGCCTTCAATGGAGGAACCCTCCCAACCGATGGATTCGCTTGCGCAACGTACGAGCGGATACTCACGGCTAAGGTAGAGGGAGAGCTCCATGCCCCCCAGCATCGCCCCCCAGAGGCAACGGCCCAGCATGAAGACGGAGGGCGAGGCGGCAAAGGCGGCCAAGACGCCCGCAGGGCAACCCAGGGCTAGGGCCAGGAGGAGGGTCCCGCGCCGCCCCACGCTGCGGATGAAAAGACAAAGAGGGTGAGAGGTTGCTCTGCCGATTCTTCTCTCCCTCCTTCCTAGCCCAAGCTCCCCCGAGTCTTCCACAAAGGTCTGGATAAAAAGGTCAACTTTGAGACTTTCTTGAAGAAGCAGTAAACCCTATGCAAATCCAGGTTCAGGGATATTTTTTATTATTTTCATCAAGGTCCCGGGATTTATTTATTTTTTAATTGTAAGTTGCGTGTCCTCGTTTCTCAGTTTGATCCTTTTAAATGGTTTTGTCTGTTTTGTGGTACAGTCGTACCTTAGAAGCCGTTCCAGAAGTCCGTTTGACTACCAAAATGTTCGGAAACCAAAGCATGGCTTCTGATTGGCTGTAAGAAGCTCCTGCAGCCAATCCAAAGCTGCAGAAGCCCCATTGTACGATTGGGTTCCAAACAACGTTCGCAAACTGGAACAGTCACTTCCAGGTTTGTAGCATTTGGGAGCCAAAACGTTCGACTCACGAGGCGTTCAGGATCCAATGCATGACTGTATTCCATGCATTGCGACTTGCCGTTATTTTTATTGATTGTAGTTTAGTAATTTTTGTAATCTGGGTGTTCACTGCAAATATAATCAATATGTATATAATATTGTATATATAATCAATATATGACATTCTTGTATAAATTGGTATAGTGTTATTGTCCTAGTGCTTATGTAAATGTGAATAGCCTACCACATTTTGCATAAACTCATTCCAGATGTTATTGTATTTATCCATACAGAGTCTGCGGCTGCAAGCAGTCCGTTCATAAATTGCCAGTGATGTCCTATCGTCAATCTATTGACTGAAGGGTATCCTATCTTTATTTTCCCCGTTCCAAAAGCAAGACTTGAGTATAGCAGCGCTCTCTCCGCATTTGTGGCTCCCAAAAATTGGCCCTCAGAGCCAGGCTACCTCCAACAAGGGAGAGGGAACATAACTATTGTCACTAATAACCGACAATAGCCCTATAGCCTCCATTCAGCTGTCGGATCCTCTTTTGAAGCTACCCCAGCTGGTGGCCATGAGAGGAATGTTGGGAGATTCAGGAGGCAAAAAAGAAAAAAAAAAGCATGCTGCTTCTCACAGCGTCAAGTTAAACTGTGGAACTCACTCCCACAGGAGACAGTGATGCCACCAACTGGAATGGCTTTAAAAGAGCGCTGGACATGGTCATGTACAGGGCCGGATTTAGGCTTGAAGAGGCCCTCAGCTACTGAAGGTAAAGGGGCCCTTTATATGTCCAGCTGTCCTTTGTCAGCAACAAATTGTTGCTGTTTTTTGTGTTGAATATATTCTATATGGTAATTGATGGACCTCATAGGGATCTCAAGCCATTTGCCCATGTTGCCGTGCAACCGGTCCATGCAGAATATATAGAAAGGAGCAAAGATGTGGGGGTCAGGTGGGATTGCTATGAGGAATTATGAAAAGGCAGCATGCCATTGTGCCAGTGATGAAAGCATTGCTTTGACTGGGCTTGTGTCATTTGACATGATTTCTGATCGAATCCCACAAGCCTCTCCACCTCTGCCATTTTCTTTCTCTACACCTGACAGGCACGTATAAGCATTCTAAAACATAGACCCAGTTGCTTCACCAGGCCATAAAGATAGAAGGTAGCTTTGATGTAGCTTTTGTTAGTTTTGTTAATCGTTAGATAGATCTTAAGGGCCAGGAACAGAGGTTACACGGAGATGGTAAATGTGTCTTTATGACCTCCGGGGGTACTAAATGCATTCGTCCTTGGTTCCTGTTTTATTTAGCTTAACCATGTATGCATGCTCAAGTAGGAAATAGTTACTTTGCAGTTAAAAGGATTTCTCTGATCTGACTTTGTCCCACGTGGGGGATTTTTTGAAATGCTCAGAGGAAATCTGATTGGTTCTTACAAACGCTGTGTTAGGAGTTCTTTTGTTAATAAAAAGGACCTGGGCCGGGGTGTGGCAGGAGGATTATTTGCACTTCCTTCCAGAGTCTTTCTGGCCAAGCCTTGTGTGTATTTTATTAACCAGGGTCCAATCCTTCCTTTGGCATCGGAATGCAACACAAACCAGTGATATTTTAGGGAGCAGGCTAGGCCCATGACTTACATCCTAGGAGCCTACACAACACAAAACACTGTTGCTGTATGTCGGTTTTGTTTTATTTGTTTTTTATCTTATATTTTGGAAATGTACATCCAGTTTCTTTTCCCTTTAAATTTTTTTGGGCCCCTAAGAGAGTGGGGCCCTAAGCTATAGCTTGTTTAGCTTATACAGTGGAACCTCAGGTTACATACGCTTCAGGTTACATATGCTTCAGGTTATATACGCTTCAGGTTACAGACTCCACTAATCCAGAAATAGTACCTTGGGTTAAGAACTTTGCTTCAGGATGAGAATAGAAATTGTGCTCTTGCGGCGCGGCAGCAGCAGGAGGCCCCATTAGCTAAAGTGGTGCTTCAGGTTAAGAACAGTTTCAGGTTAAGTACGGACCTCCGGAACAAATTAAGTACTTAACCTGAGGTACCACTGTACGTAAATCCACTGGTCATGTAGGATAGAAGCTGAAATGGATGTGCTCGACTGAATGGGCCCGATCCGGCAGTCTTTCCTTATGGATCTCGTGGGAGCGAATGCCATCGTCTTCCTGACAAATGGCTTCCCCTGCCAGCTGCCCCATCGACAGGCCCGCTGCCTCTGGCTTACCTGTCTGCCAGGTGTCCCAGCAGCAGCGCGCCTGCGGCAAAACCCAGGAGGAAGCAGAGCTGCTCCAAGGGAACAATCCATCCTCGGAAACAGTCCAGGGACCACTGAGGAGAAAGAGAGATTAAAAGCAGCGGAACAATGGAGAACATGACGTTTATAGGAGGACAGAAATATGGGTGGGTGCATGCAGCCCCTCTCAGAGGTCCAGAGAGGCCCAGGGTCACTTCCAGCTTTTGAGGCCCATAACTGTAACTAAAATAAAAATAAAAAGGACCACCAGCCAGTAGAGCAAGAGACTCTTAATCTTAGGGCTGTGGGTTTGAGCCCCACGTTAGATTCCTCCATTGCAGGGGGTTGGACTAGATTGCCCTCGGGGTCCCCTCTAACTCTACGATTCCGTGACCACACACAAAAAACAAATCCAGGTTCTCCCCGTCCCAAAGAGTGGTTTGTTTCTATAATCAGCTGATGGGAAAGGTCTAATCTTGTGCCATCAGAACCAATATGTTTATTAACATTTATATGCACATTTCTCAGTATTTAATATGCCAAAATCTTTATCAGCCATATAGATTTTTACCAAATGCTTCTCTCATTTGCTTAAATTTGCAGCTCTGAGTTGAGAGAGTTGCAACGCATTTTGGCTCGCACGTAAAAACGGGTTGCAAAAGTTACCAAAACCCCCCAAATGAACAAGGATCTAAATTTGAGATCCCAGAAGTCCGGGGTCAAATTAGCCCTGAATGGATGCATTACTGCGGCAGCAGATGTCAAAGAGCTGGAAGGGAGGATGGGGCAAGTGTGACCTACAAGTGTGACCCCCATGTTCCCCGATCCTGGTTTCAGGATCTGCCAGTGGGACGGGAACAGGGAGAATAATACCCCATACATGCTCAGGAGTACTCCTGTCGCCGCGGCTCAGATGCAATCTCCCTATTATTATTATTTATTATTATTATATCATGTGACTCAGGTTGAGCCAAGCGTTGAAAGCCAGTTTGGGGATTGGCTCCAATTTGTGTAGGAGTGAAGGAACATGTTCTGTAAGAAAGTTTCTGGCACTATATATATGTGTGTGTGTGTCTGCCTCCTTTAAAGAGCTAAGAACAGGCATAACTGGCTATTCCTACTCCGTCCATTTTATAGACACAACCACCATGTAAGGTAGCCTGGCCCAAGAGCACACTCAGTTAACTTGCTGGGGATTCGAACTCGGGTCTCCTTGGTCTAGCACGAGAACCACTGCACCCTTCTGCCTCTCCTGGGTACAGCGAGGGTGGGGGGCCAGGAAATGGACCTGGGTGGCAACGTCGAGAGGGGATTTGGGGCTCTCACCTCGGTCACCGGATTGTTGGTGAGGGCCGGGAGGCCCCCGTATTCCCAGCTGTGGCAGCGGGGGTCCCAGCAGGTTGCGTTCTCCGGGAACTGGGTGCTGTTGGGATCCCGGCAGTGGCGTGGAGGCGTCAGAGTGAAGAGGGCGTCTGAGCCGGCTCCGAGCCCCAGGAGGAGGCATGGCAGGCAGGTCAGGGCCAGGAGGAGGCGCTGCCTTCGCCCCCCAGCCCCCAGCCGCCCCAGAAGCCCCTCAAAAGACGGGGGTCCTTGATCAGAAACCGCAAAGTCCCTCCGCGGGCCCCCGGGGTCCGGAGTCGGGGGGCTGGTATCCATGGAGCAGCGTCTGCAGTGAGAGAAAGAGCAGATCATAGAATTGTGCAGTTGTCAGGGACCCAAGGGACGCAGGTGGCGCTGTGGGTTAAACCACAGAGCCTAGGACTTGCCGATCAGAAGGTCGGCGGTTCGAATCCCCGTGATGGGGTGAGCTCCTGTTGCTCGGTCCCTGCTCCTGCCAACCTAGCAGTTCAAAAGCACGTCAAAGTACAAGTAGATAAATAGGTACCACTCCGGCGGGAAGGTAAACGGCGTTTCCGTGCGCTGCTCTGGTTCGCCAGAAGCGGCTTAGTCATGCTGGCCACATGACCCGGAAGCTGTACACCGGCTCCCTTGGCCAATAAAGCTAGATGAGCGCCGCAACCCCAGAGTCGGTCACGACTGGACCGAATGGTCAGGGGTCCCTTTACCTTTAAGGGACCCTCAGGGGTCATCTAGCCTTACCCGCTACCATGAAAAAATTGTTGACGCTCGGCAACGTCCCTCTACACCAAGGAGCCTTCAGTCGAGAACAGGGGTCCCCAAACTTCGACCCCAGTTGTCAGACTATGGCCAGGAAGACCTGGGTTCGAATCAGGCATGAAGTTCCCCGAGTGAACGTGGGCAAGTCTCATGCTCTCTGCCCAGCCTACCTCTCAGGGTTGTTGAGAGAACAGAAGAGAGAGGAATGAACTGTGCACGTAGCTCTGACCGCCTTGAAGTGTCCCCCGGACCCTTAAATGTAATAATTAACTAAATACAGTACTACGCCATCGAGGTCAACAATAAAGCAGCCGGCCGCTCGGGTTTCATCCCGCAATTCCCCAAACGAGCAGAAGCGTAAAAGGTGGGATGAATTAATTAGGGGGAACAGAAGAAACGGAAGGGAGGAAGAAGGGCAGGTGGCAGGAACAAGGAGGGCCTGGAAAGGACACAAAAGGGGGCTGGACTGTGGGGCAGAGGAGAAGAAGAGGTCCACACTTATTTTGCTCAGGGGCCTTGAATGCAGAACGCCCCCAATTCAATCCCTGGGATGTCTAGGGTGAACTATGGGTTGAATGAGGGGGAAGGGGGCGGGCACTGTGGTGTTGCGTAGTGGTTAGTGTTTCCTCGGACTAGGACGCAGGAGAGAGACCTGGGTTCGAATCCCCACTTGGCCACGAAGGCGTGACCTTGAGCCCAGTCACCCGCCTCTTAGCCGAACCTACTTTGCAGGGTTGTCCTGCGGATTAAAGGAGTGGGGCGGCGTGGGGAAGGCCACCCCTTGAGAAAAAGGTGGGGATAGAAATGCAAATACAGAGGTGGGGGTAAGCAAAAATCGGGTGGGTGGGGCCGTTTTCGCTGCAGGGAGGGAAACTCATAATAACTGCGTGTGTTTCAAGGGTGGGGAGGGTCCACAAAGGGGAGAAGGGGGTGTGGGTGGTGGAGGGAGCCGGGAGAGGGAAGGGGGGGGTGTCCCATGGCGTGGAGAGCCCAGGCAGGCCTCCTGTTTCCGCATTCCGGGTCCCAGGGAGGCGGAGAGAAAGAAAAATAGGAATAGGAGAATAGGAAGGAGGGGAGAGCGAGAGCGAGGCGGGACATTTGGGGGCCGGGAGGAGAAGACTTGGGGGAGAAAAGAGAGAAAGGGCGGATGGATGGATGGATGAGGCCGTAGGAGGGATGGAGAGGGGGGCGCGCAAAGAGGGAGAGATGGAAGGAGAGAAAGGGAGACAAAGGACGGGCGCCCCGGGTGCCCAGACTCACCACCAGGCGCGGGGCGAGGGCGGGTGGCCGCGCTCCGGGAGGGTCCCCATGGGCGAAGAAGGGGGCTGGAGCGGCGGCGGAGGCGGCCGGGGGGACGCTGCGCCCCGAGATCGGGCTCCGTGCGCCTCCGGAGGCTGGGATCGCGCAAGGGGGCGACGCAGGCCGGGGCGGAGCGAGGCTGCCTCCGCCCCACACGGCCGCGTCCCCCGGCACAGCCTGCTCCGCCCCGCAACCTCCAGCCGGGCAGGGAGACCGGCCAAGGGCGAGAGCCTCCGGCGCTCCTCTCCCTCTCCAAATGCGTCACGCGCCCCGCGCCTCTTGGCGCATCAGCGAATCCGGATTATTCGCAACCCGTCTGCTCCAGAATCTCTTTTTGGGGTCTAGCTCAGCTCAGGTTCCGCTGGCCAACCCGGCGCAGGTGGTTGGGTCAAAGGGATCTCCTGGAAATGTTTGGCCTTGCCAAGGCAGTGTTGCGCAGTGGTTAGAGTCCTGGGCTAAATCTGGGTTCAAATGGCTTTTTGGCCACTAAGGCTCCCAGGGAGACCTATCAGGAAGGTGCACTGCGGGTCTGTCTAACTCAGAATTGTCCACACTGGCTGGCGGTGGATCCCAGTATGTTTCCGAGCACAATTCAAAGTGTTGGTGCTGACCTTTAAAGCCCTAAACGTCCTCGGTCCAGTATATCTGAAGGAGCATCTCCACCCCCATCGTTCAGCCCGGACACTGAGGTCCAGCACCGAGGGCCTTCTGGCGGTTCCTTCACTGCGAGAAGCAGTTACAGGGAACCAGGCAGAGGGCCTTCTCGGTGGTGGCACCTGCCCTGTGGAACACCCTCCCACCAGGTGTCAAAGAGAACAACTACCACCAGACTTTTAGAAGACATCTGAAGGCAGCCCTGTTTAGGGAAGCTTTTAATGTTTAATAGACTATTGTATTTTAATATTCTGTTCGAAGCCGCCCAGAGTGGCTGGGGAAGCCCAGCCAGATGGGCGGAGTATAAATAATAAATTATTATTATTATTATTATTATTATTATTATTATTATTAAATTGGACACACCGGGGATTGAACCCGAGGCAGGTGAAGCAGATGCTCAACCACTGAGCCCTTTTCTTAGCCTAATCTACCTCGCAAGACTGTTGTGGCATGGGCACTGCTCCAAGTTCCTCAGAGAAAGGGACAGAAATGAAATTACTAATTGAAATGTATTTGGTGAAAAATAAATGCAACACCACATTGAAAAGCACGTGAATTCAAGACTCCATTGAAAGGCGGAGAGATTCTCTTGCTTAATTTTGCAGGGCAGTTTTTGCCTCTCGCTGGCCTTGGGCAAACTCTCACCTCTGCACCTTACCAATCATTCTAGGCCAATAAACAAGATCAGTGTTCACGTTCCTTCGCTTCTTAACTGTTTATAGGCACAAGTCTTCTAGACCCCATGACAAAAGCATGGACCTGGGGCAAGGGCGTCAAGAATGGGAATTGCAGGAGGCAGATATAGAAATATAATTGAGGTTTTTCAAAATTTTACAGGGTGGTACTCCACTAAACTTTACTCGGAGCAGGCCTGTCAAAATGAATGGGCCAAATTTAAGTCATATTTCAGTGGGTATACTCCGAATTAATCTTAGCTGAATACCACCCTGTTTTTAATTTTGCAGCTTTGAAATTCATTCTGACATTTAATGACCTTGGACCCACCCGTCATTCTCTCATTGCTGCCAGGTGGTCAAATTTTATTAGACCACATCTAGATCTCGCAGAGCCTTTTCTTGTAAAACTCTTACATTCATTCCCAGTTTGCCTTTGGAAACAGATTGCTGTCTCCCCCTAGTTTATAGCTGTTTCGCCGTGTTGTTTCTTGTGTGGGGGGTATGTCTGCTTTTAACAGCTGCTTTATCGTTTTTTTGTTGCTTATATTTTAAATCCGCAAGTTGTATTTCCTGAACAGCAGCGTATCAATAATCAGAAATGGAACCAAAGCACGCCAGAGTTGTCGGAGGAGATTTGCGGGGAGGGAGGGGAGAGGGAAACCAATCAAGTTGTGGAAGGAAGCAACACAACATGGGTGTTTGTTTTTTCACCCATTTTTATTATGATCAAACCTAGAAAAAAACTTGGCAAATATTTCCTGAGAGAGAGATTCTTGACCCCGCTTGTTTCCTGGTGAGGAAGTGAGATGAGGGTCTTCGCAGGGAGCAGGTGGGGCCGGATGCTGTAAACTGCAGAATTGTCTGGCGGCCGTCCAATATCTAGAGGGGGGTTTTTCAGAGGAAGACAACAAACCTGAGGAATGAATCCATAGATCAAGCTGAAGGACTTGTATTATTAAGATTTCTGACCCCTTCCAGGTGCTGGCTCTATTCCGCTGACCTAGCAGTGGCTCAATAACCCCCCTGCCCAGTTATTTGTGTTGCTAGTTCACACTGTGCATCATAACAGTGTCCGTACTGACCTGTCCCCCTTGTCCATTTTTCTTTTATCGTTTCCTGTTCACCCTCAGCTTCCTCCCTTCTGCCCCAGATTAATTTGCTTCTTTTCACATTTGGCTGCCTCTCTGAGTTTTGTTTTCTTTTGCCCCTGTTGGCAATTTCCCATAACCCTCTCTGCTGCAGCAATATTGGCCATTCTCCCAATCCCCTCTTTCTTCAGCCGTTGCTCCAGAATCTTTTGTTACGGGATGACAAGGGTCATTTCCCATCAATTCTGTCTCCCTTCAGCTCCTTTCCCATTCAGGGGTTTTTGGGGTTTTTTTTTTTGCACTCTTAAAGAACTGTTGTCAAGTCTACGAAGAGCCAGTGGGGAGACGTGTCTTTGGTCTTACGACCTCACGCCACCATCTTTATCGAGGGGTGACTGAGATACCCTCGATGTTTTCAGGAAGGAACCTATGTCAGAATTAGCAAAACCTAACTGGAGCGGGGAAATGGGTGTCATGATGCGCAGTGTTGGGTCAGAGGCCGAAGGTCCGGAACGTTCTTTGGTTAGGAAACCGTCCAAGATGGCTGGTCGCAGGTGCAAGGGCAAGGGAGTAAAAGCAAAGAGGCAAAGGTCTGGCACTGACAAGGACCATTTCTTGTCATGAAGTCAAGCAAGGCCGTCTCCTCTGTGCATCGAAACTGAGCACCCAAGGGTCGAAGGTCACTAAATGTTGCTTCTGGCTGCAGGCACTGAACGCCATGGGGGTTAAGAGGCCCTGACAAGATGGCAGCTGGAACTCAAGGGAAACGTTTGTTTTTAGGCGAGGGCCTGAGTTATCCAGGAGGCAGGTTCGGGCCTGCTCGGTTCCAGAAAACCACCAAGCAGCACTGCAGTTATTGCCACAGGAGGGGGTCGTAGCGTCTCACAGCTTCAGGGCAGGAGTTTGCTGGTGGCGAATCGGCACTGACGTAGGATTCAAGATGGCGCCAGGGTGCCAAGTAAAGAAGTGAAGGCCAAGGCTTGCCGGGAGAGCTCTGCCACGCACTCGCGCATCTCCCGGGCGGCGGGCGGCGAGGGGTAGTGCAGGGCAGCCCCCTTGACCGAGAGCACGGCGTCCTTCAGGGCCTGGCAGAGGGTGCTGCTCGCCGCCCCCACCCTCGCCCGCACGGTGGCAGAGGACGCCAGGCGGGACACGGTGTCCCCCACGAAGACCAGTTTGTGCGCCGTGACGATGACGAACTTCCCGTGGGGCACGAAGACCCACGGGGGCTGGTGGGCCCCGGCGCTGGCCAGGAGCGCCTCGATGGCCGAGAGCAGGGTGGTGTAATGCGTCTGGCATTGCCCTGTGTAGAACTGCAAAAGCTGGCTGTCCTCGGGGGAAGGCGGAGCCTATAAACCAAAGAGAAAAAGGTTAGACGGCTGCCATTTTGCTCACTCTGGCTGTGTGTTTGTGTGCATTATTTTCAGAGACGAGAGGTGGCTGCCTACTTCCTTCGCCTGGAAAATCTTTCCCGTTGGGCGCCAGAGAAACATGTCTGTGTGCAATTCTGAAAATTCAAGCAGATCAAACATGGGGAGACTTATTTAAGTGGCATGCTTTTTACAACAGAACGAAAATCTCCCTCATTGGCACAAGAGAAGACTTGAGGGGGGCAATTTGATGGTTTTGAGGCCAAGGACCTCAAAATTCCCTGATGCGCTTCTCTGTTCCTCGCTGCTGCTGCCAGCTCCCACCTCCAGTTTCCCATAATGCCCCCAGAACTACCCTAGCTGCCATGGCCAGAGGATCTCTTGCATTGCACATGTCAGAGGAACCCAGTGAGGAAGAGATCCGGGCTTCTTCCTTGTGGGGGGACGGGGACAGGAGCCTCAGGCCCTCCATGCCCTCACATCAGGCCCTCGGGTCTCTCTCTAGGCCATGCCCCTCCTTAGCCCCGCTCCACACTCTCCTCAAGTGCTTCCGTGTGGCTGGAATATGGCTTTCTAAGATGAAATTAAGAGTCTGTGGCTGCCTCCACTTGCTGCCTCTGGCCCTGGAACATGGCCCCCAAGCTGTCAAAAAGGCTCCACTTCTTGCTTGTGCCTTATTTTGGGCCTTCCTGGCTGGAGGATGCCAAAGTTTTCACCGGGAGGAAGAGCCTAGCAAAATCCTGGTCTACATAAGGCTTCAGTGGGAGCTAACTGTCTCATCTGTAGCCGCCTTGTTGTATGTGTGTCTCCTTGGCTCTTGGGACATAACCAAATGCAGTTATGTAGCATCCCTCCCAGGGCATTATGGGAAATTCAAGATGGCAGCCACCTTCCCCTTCTGCCTGCTTATATCGTAAGAGTGCATGTGTGTCATGCACACTGCTGGACCAGGACTGAGCGTGGTTTGTGGGAAGACCACCTTAGAACCCCACCTCTAGGTAAAAGGCAAAAGTAAAGGACCCCTGGACGGTTAAGTCCAGTCAAAGGCGATTATGGGGTTGCAGCGCCCATCTCGCTTTCAGGCTGAGGGAGCCAGCGTTTGTCCACAGACAGCTTTCCGGGTCCTGTGGCCAGCAGGACTGAACCGCTTCTGTCACAACAGGACACCGTGACGGAAACCAGAGCACATGGAAAAGCCATTTACCTTCCCACCTCAGAGGCACCTACTTATCTACTTGCACTAGCGTGCTTTCGAACTGCTAGGTTGGCAGGAGCTG